CAATTCTACCCCTCTAAACTACCCCGTCAATTCTACCCCTCTAAACTACCCCGTCAATTCTACCCCTCTAAACTACCCCCTCCATAACGACAAACTACTGGAATATTATCTAAGAGTGCAGAGTTACAAACAAAATAAGATTTCAACTGAGAATTAACAGAGCAGAAGATGTTGTTAAACACATAGCACATAATCTTACTGAAGGGAACCAACGAGTCATAAATACTCATACTCCGCCTAAGTAAAACAGAAACAATTAGCAAATTACCATACAAAAATTTGCATTATCCCTGCAAAAAGAAATGTTCTCAACAGAAGAAGGATGATAGGAAAATCAATTAATACACATACCACTGTGTATAAGTCTGAGGTAGACAAAACAAAGGAGAAAGCTGTGTCCGTGTACAGATAGGAGATAATTAGATTCCCATTCAACTAGGCTAGTTGAATGGGAATTTAGATTCCCATTTGGCTAGTCATGAGGCCAAAACACAAAAATATCATCAACATTACTAAGCCAGATAGACAGACGAGAATCTATCATGGGAAGAAGAGCAGTTTTAAAGTAGTCCAGGAGAGAGAACACATTAAAGAGATGAGATCCCATTGTTACACCAAAAGTTTGAAACAAATATTTATTTTTGAAACAGGAGTTAACAATGTCTGATGTAATCGAGGAAGTCGTCAATTGAAGGTAGATGAACATTCCCGTTGTGTTCATTCGCGTTCTGACTATGGAAAGCGGGAACATCAACAAGTGAGGACATTAGTAAAAAGAGAATCAACATTAACGCTAGGCTTCTTATAGGAAGGCGGGCGGTGAGATAGAGTATCATGATAAGGAATGACAGTTTTGGCAAGCCAGGATGTAAGAGAATAACTGGTAGATCCTACTCAATAAATAATAGGACGGAGAGGAACGAGAAGTTTATGAGTGCTACAGAAACCGTAGAAATACTGAAAATAAGGGCGAATGACACGTAAAACGTTTGACGAGATCAAAATTACGGGAAAAGACTAGAGAGCTGTCTCAGTTTACGGTTGAAAATAATGTTAAGGCGATCGAAACGGTTTATAAACCAGAGGAGCATATATATCCTTGATTCTGGGAACAATGTTTCAGTCCTTTGGTTTACTTGCCTTCTCGCCTTTCACCTCACATTCTTACTTTATGTACTGACTTTCTCTACTACTCTTTCTTAGGTGCCTTAATCTTCATCAATCACTCACTCTCTACTTGATGATGGTGTAGGACGGACCAAAACATCGTCACTTCCATACTCTACAGGTGTGTTGGTTGGGTGTCTAATTTTCAACCATGTTATTGTGACTTACTGTCTGCTGTATGTGCCAGTTTCCCCACTTTATAGAAAACGCGAACTCTAGACTTATGACGTATCAAATTTTGAAGTTACGATACAGTAGAATTAACTTTCAATATTATTCAGAGTTGGAACTTACTGAGATTAATGTACTACCAAGTTAAACTGTACAGTAAGTTGACAAATTGAAGGTACACGAGTGCAGACGAGGCTAGCAGCCATGGCACGAGGGAAATACCCGAGACGACATTGGCCGGTCAGGGAGTACTGTCTCCTGGGCTTGGCCTTCTGGCCTTGGGGGCAGAACTAGACGCCACCTCAGTTGTGTTAGTCGCGCATATTGTAGCGTCATATAATATTACGCATGTTACACACTTGCTTAAAGATGCTATACACGTACATCAGGTAGCTATGTAGGGTGTACCAGAGAGAGAGTTCACAGAGGCTCAGAGGCTCTCTCTAGGGTTCAGGGTTCACAGCGAACTCGGAGCCCCAGAGAGCGGCAGTGACATAAATTATCAAGGGTGAGAACAGTGCTCAACTAAGGGTGGATAACACTGATCATTACCTGCAGGACTATGGGTCCACCACGGGCGACGTGCTCGACCCTGGTCCTCCAGTTTTATTTAGTTTAGTTCCTTTATTATGCACTATGCGCCCCAAGTGTAGTCAGTAGGGGTTTCTGGGTATGATTTATTTATTTATTTATATACAAAAAGGTACATTGGGTTTATCAGAGTACATAGACTTGAAGGTTTACATTCTTGTAAAGCCACTAGCACGCATAGCGTTTCGGGCAGATAAGGTATATGGTTGGAGAACAGGTGAGAACCCCATATTAATAAATGGAATCTCTAGGTATAATCATGCCATATAGGACTACACCATATTGTGTTTGTTAGTAGAGTTAGTGAGGTGGTGTAGGCTGTGATGCATACGTTAGTCTGCAAGCAGCTGCGTCTAACAACTTTGGTTGAGGAGACAACCAGCCAGGCAGCCTGGTCTGAGACCGGGCCGCGGTAATTACGATACCCATAACCACCACAATGTCCCAAAAATATAAGGTACCAGTTCTAGTTACAATAAACTATAGCAATTGCTGCTAAAAAGAGCAAACTTTACAAGTAGCATACCAACGGAGATCAAAAACTGTCCTTAAGCTCCACTCCTGTGCCAGATAAGTCCACTACGGGCTCACTATAGCCCGTGCTACTTGGTACTACTTTTTATTCAGAATAGCTGAATCTAAAACAACATACTAGCTGGCCACAAGCAGTAAACTACCTTTATAGCAGAGAGTGATGATCTGTACACATTCTCAACAACAAAGGCACATTTCACATAGATCTGTATATCTAGAAGCACCGCCACGTAAGCAAATTATCTTAAATATATATATATATATATATATATATATATATATATATATATATTATGTGTGTGTGTGTGTGTGTGTGATTGCGATTCTTGGGACAATATGAGATATATATATATATGTACAACAGTTTTAAAAATGTAATCTCGAAAATACAGTATATGTGTTCAGAGGAGCATTTGAATTAGTTAACGTTATAGATTGCAAGTGTGGTTGTGTGTTCTGTGTCTACAAAAAGCAAGTGTTTGTTGTGTAAATGTAAACAAAAAGCAAGTGTGTGCTGTGTAAATGAAAACAAAAAGCATGTGTGTGATGTGTAAATGTAAACAAAAAGTAAGTGTGTGCTGTGTAAATGAAAACAAAAAGCATGTGTGTGCTGTGTAAATGAAAACAAAAAGCATGTGTGTGATGTGTTAATGTAAACAAAAAGCAAGTATGTGCTGTGTAAATGTAAACAAAAAGCAAGTGTGTGCTGTGTAAATGTAAACAAAAAGCAAGTGTGTGCTGTGTAAATGTAAACAAAAAGCATGTGTGTGATGTGTTAATGTAAACAAAAAGCAAGTATGTGCTGTGTAAATGTAAACAAAAAGCAAGTGTGTGCTGTGTAAATGTAAACAAAAAGCAAGTGTGTGCTGTGTAAATGTAAACAAAAAGCATGTGTGTGATGTGTTAATGTAAACAAAAAGCAAGTATGTGCTGTGTAAATGTAAACAAAAAGCAAGTGTGTGCTGTGTAAATGTAAACAAAAAGTAAGTGTGTGCTGTGTAAATGAAAACAAAAAGCATGTGTGTGCTGTGTAAATGAAAACAAAAAGTAAGTGTGTGATGTGTAAATGAAAACAAAAAGTAAGTGTGTGATGTGTTAATGTAAACAAAAAGCAAGTGTGTGATGTGTTAATGTTAACAAAAAGCAAGTATGTGCTGTGTAAATGTAAACAAAAAGCAAGTGTGTGCTGTGTAAATGTAAACAAAAAGTAAGTTTCTGTTGTGTAAATGTCAACAAAATATGTGTATGGAACAAGAGTAGCCTTAGGTGACGTATTTGCCTACCTATAAATCCAACAATCAGCTTGTTTCCAATGATTGTATGTATGTATGTATGTATGTATGTATGTATGTATATACTTTTCCCTTAATAAAATGTTTGATATATATTTTCAATAAAAGGGAATAAAACAAACACGTGTCTGACCTTTATGTAAACAAATACCACTTTATTTCACGTCATGTTTCTTATTACAGTTGTAACATTGTACAACAAAGTTAATGTGGACTGAATCCACTAATAAATAGTTTTTTATTGGTTATCGCTAAGATAAATATAATTCTACAGATTAGGGTTAATGAAAACTATTGTTGACATTATCTACGATAAACGTTTTATCTTAATCTTAAGCCACTTAATCTTAAGTATTGGAATAAAAAAATTTAATAATAAATAATAATAAAATATTTTAGTAATAACTAAATATTTTATTATTTATAATAATAAAATATTAAATTTATATATTTATATATTTTATATTTATAAATATAAAATAATAAATATTTTATTATTTATAATAATAAAATATTAATACAAATGTTTTTATTTTATTTCATTATTTACTAACATTTTTTATAATAAAAAAAAAATTTTTATAATCAAAAAAATTTATGTAGTATTATGAGTTATTTTGTCTTAACAACAGGATATAAAATATATCTGAAGGTATGACAGACTACATCCATATGTCTGGACAAGTTAACAATAAACTACTACGACACACATGTTTCAGACAGCGATCTCCTCTCTCAGGAGATTGGTCCCACATATGTTGGTAATGTGTTCATGCTTCTGTGATTAACTTGACACTTTATAGTACTTTGAGCGATGCTACTTAAACTACACTGAAGTAAAGATATGGTTAACTCTGGCTGTATTAAGACCACCGCAATACCTTACTGATGAACCAGCGAGTATACTTAAGTCGTAAACATTGTCCAGGAATAATATAAACTCAGTGTATATACACTGTTACTGTTGAGCTTGAGGCCTATTAACCTGACGAGGGTAATTACAGGGCCGTCCACAGCAGGTTGCTACTAGTACTGTGCATTGTCCAAAACAAAAGTAAACTCCGAGAAGTAGGGATAAGATTGATTGATGAAGTTTAAGCCACCCAAGAGGTGGCACGGGCATGAATAGCCCGTATGTGGTAGATTTTTTGGACTGAATGCGATCTTTGGTCGTGAAACAGCAAGTGAATGTAGGAATACACCTCTCGGTGAATGTACATTCTTGTGCGACCTCTTGGGGGTGGCTTAATTTCTATCAATCAATCGTAGGGTATACGTACTGGTGTATGTATCTCGATCCTGTCTACCCTGACACAAGCATGTAGCCAAATAATGATATATACTTTCTGTTAGGTGTTTGCAAATGTTTAAAATCTATGTATAATTAATGTATCGTAGGGATAATGTACAAATTTATATAAGTAAATACAAATTTCTGTTTGATGACTATAAATTGGACAGCTAGACTGACTTGTTTAAACTTTTCTAAAAAAAACACACAAATTATCGTGATCCTTTACATTTTTACAGATGTTACCCTTAATTTTAATTTTCTGTTATACATTCTCCTGTCGCGCTGAAGGGTAACATTTGTAAAATAATATATTCCCCCCCCCTACTTGTACGTAAGTGAGAAACTTGAGAATCTCTTTTTAAACACAACGTTAACACCGACGAGACATTTTAACTATTCATATTAAAATTGTGTGTAATATAGTGCTATTACCCAGTATCAAACAGACAATAACACAGGACTTGAAGGTGGAACAAATTACTACAGGTTTATACAGACGTTTAAAGACGAGAATGGTGGTAAGTGCTGTATTGGATTTTATCATTATCAAATGAGGATACTTGAGGTTGTATACAGTGGTCAGCTGGAGTTTACTTGGAGTGGTTGGGTTCCAATTATTGTATAGAAGCTAACGACGCCGTATGCACTAAACTGTTTTCTATCTGGGTCATGTAATTGTAATTCAGGATAATACTAAAATATGCTAACTATTTAGACCCCGTCCTCAGAACTTCCATCCCTCCTCCTTGATCCACTTCTGCAGCTGCTTGATCTCCTCCTTGGCCTCCAGGCCGAGCTGGCCCTCCGGCTGCACCTCGGGTTCGTAGCTTAGGACCCGAGCACACTCCTTCAGAGCTGTCATTGCCTCCTGGGGTGGAACAAGTTCACATTAACACACGAGAACAACACATGCTATACGCCCACCTCGCTATTATCATAAAACCCTTCAATCGTAAATGCAAGATAATACTGCAGTTAAAAAAATCAACTGGAAAAATCTTCAAGACAAATTGGGCGACCTTTATCAAGCCGCCGGCTTCCTGTCCCCTTCGAAGCCACTATAGAGATGACGGCCCTCGGGTAAATTCAGGATAGGACATCTATCGAGATAAAAATTGTACACGTACTTAACTTTAGCCATTTAACCATATAAATTAATCGAAACTATTCGCAGTATAGATATGATAGTTTTTTTCTATATATCATTTGCCAACGTTCTACCATGCTTGAAGTATATTTTTGCACATACGGATCATCGTAAGAGCGGAACCCAGAGACATATTTCTTGATTATTAATGCGTTCATAATATAAAGTGTGTAAATTACAACCGGGTCCAATAGCCTCGGTGACCAAACCACCAACCGAAGGAAGCCTGGCCAGTGACCGGGCCAAGGGGACGTTGATCCTCGGAACTATGGAAAGGTAACTAACTGCAAGGTAATCCTCCCCAGGTCATAGATTTCCCAACCATAATTATCAGTAATATTTCATCCCGGGTAATGTCTATGCAAGTGACATCCTCACTCTCGCCTACTGTCCTTAGGTCTTCCTAATAACTAATAACTCCCACGTTATAGCGGATTGCACAACACAAGAACAAAAGAATTGATACAGATAATGGCTCCAAAAAGCCTCCACTTACGGGCTCGCCATAGCCCGTGCTACTTGAAACTTTTTGTTCAGAGTAGCTGAATCTAAAACAACAACAACACCAACCTCGCTCTCGTCACAATGGACCTGATAATGGTGCAGGACGGACCGACACGTGGTCGTCTCCTCATCTTCTGGAGTGTGGTTTAGTCTTCATCAGTGGGATCCTTTAACAACTCACTATCACATAGCTTCTTCTTCTTTTAATAAATATGTTGTAAGGCAGCTGTTTTCAATGTACTCTGTCAATAAGCTTTACTTCATATTCCTCAAATTAATCTTAAACTATTTTGAAAGGATTAATTTAGTTTATCAAATGATGAAGCAGATCACTGTAGCCTTCATACTGCATTAGAAAACTTCACTCTTGGAATGATAAGAAGAATTGTGCATCCTTATCGTGCATAGCTTAATGTTAATTTGGACTTAAATTCCATTTATCTGCCCCCTGGAGAACGTGAAATTTGGATACATATTTTCTACACTTCTGGCCATGTAAAAAATTAACTGGCCATTAACATGGCCTCCTTAGACCAAAATAAGGGGGGAGGATGTTTTCTACAGCTGTCGGGTACAGTATATATGTTTACAAAAAGGCCATCACTTAATCTGGAGGTGGTAGGTGAAGACAACTATTAGCCAGCAGCTGAGGTCTGGCGCAGTGCACCTCCCAGGCAGCAGGAGCCAGCATGGTGGCACTGTGCCACTTTATGATGTAACCTGTGATGTGGTCCTGTCTGAGTGGTAGATCTGTTTGGCGCCACAGGTTATGGTGTCCCACTGACACAAACAGCAAACTTGTTAGGTTTATTCAAGATTTCTTTTTTTTCTACTTACTGCTAGGCAAACACAGGCATCAGACATAAAGAAACATGTCCAAACGTCTCGCCCTGCCTAGGAATCAAACCCGGCAACAATAAATTGTGAGCCGACTGCGCTGAAGACCACAGTCACATTCTCCTCACTCCACATTATATATGCATAAAAGGTATTGCTCGTAAGCTGAGTATAACAAAGTCTAAACAACACATCAAGATAATGGGGCCATGAGTGCTGAGAGCCATCGGTCAGGTGCACCCAGCCGTCTGGCAGACCTCCAGTGTCTAAATCTATTTTCTTTGTCCCCTTGCATCGAGGCTGCCAATTTTCATGCATCCACGTTGCATTCAAAGCATTTAGTTTCACTTTTATATTCGCGCGATAAAAAACTATAATCTCAATCGGTTCTTCAAACCCAGTTTTATCAGGTCTGAACAACTGTGGTTGAGATAATACTATGGGTGCAGGTACACCTGGACGTCATAGTTACCATCTGTAGCACCAACAATATGCGGCACATCATTTACATTCTGTGTGCCATTCAAGGAATAACTTGGCTTCTTCCTGGTGTTATTTCCGCGCACAATTATGCTTTGGAGAACATAGACCAATGAACTCGTGGGATAATTTGATAGCGTCCGTATTAGGTCATTTTTGGTTCACTATGATAACTCTATGCAACATGTATTTAGTGTTGCGTAAGCATAATTAAATGAAGATAAACGTATTGAAAACGGCTCAATGCAGTATTGTTCATAAATACAGTTAATATTACCATAGCCTTAGGAACATCACAGGTCCGTACATAATTCTATAACCATATTGGTATGGTTATACCAACTATATTGGCATGACCACTATTAAGTTTTCAAGAAAGTTGACGTGTCACCTACAAGCAGGAACTAAAAAAGAAAATGCGAACTAATCACGATGTGACACTAGAAAAAAGGTTGAGACACAGAGATACACGATTCTGCAACTGATGGCAGAAGATTATAAATTCTAAAAGCTATCCCCATAAAAGACAAAATCTAATATAAACATAGAAAAGCAACGACTTTGCCTCATTACTAACAATGAGGCATAGATCCCAACCAATCTATGCCTAGCAGAGGAAACCCTGCCCATTCGCCAGCACCTGAGCCCCATGGGCCAACTCACCTAACCTCTACCACTCCTCTGTCCCTGTATATTTATATATACCTTTTACCATAAATGCTAAAAAAAAAAAACACAGCACCGCTCCTAAAAAAAAAAAACACAGCACCGCTCCTGTGCCAGGTAAGTCCACTACGGGCTCACCATAGCCCGTGATACTTGCCCCGCTCCTGTGCCAGGAAAGTCCACTACGGACTCACCATAGCCCGTGCTACTTGCCCCGCTCCTGTGCCAGGTAAGTCCACTACGGACTCACCATAGCCCGTGCTACTTGCCCCGCTCCTGTGCCAGGTAAGTTACGGGCTCACTATAGCCCGTGCTACTTGGAACTTGTTCCGAGTAGCTTAATCTATAACAATACATGCTAAACACCTTATCAAACACCTGAAGATGTTCCAGGCAGGTACAAAACGTTGTGCATATCATACGTCATATAGTTATTCTCGTGTCTTATTTTCCTAAAACCCAGACTGACCCATGAGCGAGTTTCGGTAGCCTAATCACCCAGCTTGACGCTAATGTAAAGACGATTGTCAAACGCATCGAATGTCTGAACAGCAAATGCGGTCACTTTCAACCAAATAGTAAACGCCACAGGTCCGGGTATACTAACATAACCATGACAACGTCACAGATCTGGGTATACTAACATAACCATGACAACGTCACAGGTCCGGGTATACTAACATAACCATGACAATGTCACAGGTCCGGGTATACTAACATAACCATGACAACGTCACAGGTCCGGGTATACTAACATAACCATGACAACGTCACAGATCTGGGTATACTAACATAACCATGACAACGTCACAGGTCCGGGTATACTAACATAACCATGACAACGTCACAGGTCCGGGTATACTAACATAAGACGGGTAAGTGAGACAATGTATTTCAGATCTTGACGCTGGATGGACGGGTTGAATCGCCGACAGAACCAAAACACATAACTTAACCTACGCTTAACTATAGAACTTTAATATATAATAATATTGCCTTGTATATGAGAACAAACCTATTTTTAATACACAGTATGTTAAAATTAATGAATGTGTCTTAGTGAACGGCCGCTGTTTTCACGAGTTTGGCCTGAGGACAGGTTGGTTAAAATAGATGAATGTGTCACTGGGGTCGGCCGCCGGCCTCAGGACAGGTTTCATTCTTCAAATACAAATAATGGCCAACAGAACTTAAACACCAAACGTAACCTACGCCTAAATATGCACAATGTGCTAATATATAATAATTTTAATGTATATTTAAGAAAACTCCTATTTTGAATGATCAGCATATTAAAATTGATATGTCTTTGGGGTCGTCCGCTGCATGGAATAACAGCTTGAGGACAGGATGGAAAATGGCCAGCTGCAGAAGGGTAACTAGTGCCTGCCTTCACATGGAGGGTAACCGGTGCCTACCTCAGCCAAATTCAAATTTTGAATTTTGATTTACCAAAGACCGATATGCCATTTTATATAATCGACGGAGACCAGACGGCGTGTGCCCGCCTAGATAGTTCAACTAACTTAACTAGGTCATCACGTCAGCCCCATATATCAAAGGAATGTTTACCATCCGAGGTATTTGGCTCACCTTCCATATGAGGGGGGGGGTGCCAGGCACTGCCTGGGGCAGCCGTGTGGGCATTACACCTTCTAGTCAGTGAATTTACGTAATGTTATTTACACCCATATTATTATTATTATTATTATTACAAGAATGTAAGAACTCTTGTATATATACAAAAATAAATAAAATAAATTGTATTCTCTTCCTCTTCAATGTCCGTATATTTTTCATATATTTTGTAGTATTACAACCGAAAACTCACGCCCCAGAAGTTTGTATTATTACAATTTAATATTTAAATTTAAATTTAAACTTAAAGTTCACAGGTAAACTTTTGTGTTTATTTTGGATTTACATTTATTTAATTTTCCTTTTTTTCCATATCACAAACTTCCCGATTAAATAAATTTATAAATTAAACTTTTCAGAAATTATCTCAAACATTTATCTATGGAATACTTTATCATAATAATAATTATTATTACTGCACAAAGAGATCATATGAACGTGAAGTATCAGTTACTGTATTTTATGGACCTGTGGTTCAAGGTGTGTGCATCCTAGGAGTACCCAGGCTACCCGGTTCGAATCCTTCTCGTGGCATCAACTGATTATCTTATTATTATTATCATTTGTGTTAGATCTACAATCCTTCTATACACTATTAATAGTAACTCGGGGCTACTTGAAACTGATTAAGTATTGGACTCAAAAGACGTCTGTTCCCCAAAATATTGCATATTATATCTACACTAGGGAGCTACATCTAGGGAGCCGGTCGGCCGAGCGGACAGCACGCTGGACTTGTGATCCTGTGGTCCCGGGTTCGATCCCGAGATGGGCAAGAAAAAGATAAACAATGGGCAGAGTTTCTTTCATCCTATGCCCCTGTTACCTAGCAGTAAAATAGGTACCTGGGTGTTGGTCAGCTGTCACGGGCTGCTTCCTGAGGGTGGAGGCCTGGTCGAGGACCGGGCCGCGGGGACACTAAAGCCCCGAAATCATCTCAAGATACACGAGTCTATAGTCCGTACACTCCTGCCACCAGTGACTGGTCCTCCTCTGGATATGGCAGCAGAGAAGGTGCTTCTGGAGAATTTTATGATTTAGACTGGTACACATTTTGCCTTCACCCACACCAAGGAACCCACTCACCCACCCACGCCACGCCAGCCGATGTTAATAATAGCATTGAACCCTAACTCTAATAGTGCCGGATTCGATCCCGCTAGGTCCGGTAGGCTTCACATGGCGATCAGGGTAGCGTGGTAGGGTCTATAATTAACCAAGTGAATAATAAAGCCTACAATTATCATAATTTCGTGCTATAATTATCAGGGTGACATAATGGGGTCTATAATTATCAGGAATGCATACTAGATACTATAATTATCAACGTGGCGTGGTAGGGTCTATAATTAGCCAAGTGACATGGTAGGGTCTATAATTATCAGGCTTGTATGCTACACCTATAATTATCAGTGACGCGGGCGGGTCTATAACACAATGTAACAGTTTTTGTTCCTATGTCATAGTAAGTAGGTTTTTTTCCTATTATTTATTCCTGCAAAGTATAGAAAATGGCTTATTATTCATCTCAAACTTTACTTTGACCTTCAAAGTAAAGTTTGTTTAAGTCTCATCTTAGGGAAGACATCTTGAGACACCTTATCTTCAGCTGTGACACAGAGTTTCATAAGACGGCAGCTTTTAGATCCCTTCAAGACATCTTCCCCAAGCTGACTGTAGCAAAATGTCAACAATGGGAAGTTAGAGGAAGTTAACATCCATTTTTCAATAACTTTGGATGAATAATTAATCAGAAAATTACGCTATTAAAAGATGTTTTATACGCACTAATTATTAATGTGGTATTTCTTTACACGCTGCAACACCGAGTATACCCCGTTTATATGTACACCAAGACGCGGAGTATACTTCGTGTGTATACTTCACAACCCTTGTTGTGGCTGTAGTGACGAGGGAGGGGGGGGGGGGGCGCACGATAGTATAGGAATGGTAAATGTTCTTAAAATAAGGAATGTTTAATGTGCCTGGTTAAAGAGGAGAGTGGGCTGGCAGTTGGGCCTACCGAAAAAATGTGGCATTAGGCTAACTAATGAGAGAGTTTTAGGGTTTTATGCCGTGAAGAGCTCTACAACACCCACCTGTGCACCCGGAGCTCTACAACATTCACCTATGCTCCAAGAGGTACTCTACAGCACAAATGTGCACCAGAAGCTCTACAACACAACTGTGCACCAGGAGCTCTACAACACAACTGTGCACCAGGAGCTCTACAACACAACTGTGCACCAGGAGCTCTACATCAACACCCACCTGTGCACCAGGAGCTCTACATCAACACCCACCTGTGCACCAGGAGCTCTACATCAACACCCACCTGTGCACCAGGAGCTCTACATCAACACCCACCTGTGCACCAGGAGCTCTACATCAACACCCACCTGTGCACCAGGAGCTCTACAAGACATGCTGAGGTACTCACCATGGCCAGCTTGCGAGACTGCTCGCTGGTGGCAGCCCCCACCAGGAAGAGAGCGCGAGCCTTGTAGAACAGTGACTGGTAGAGCTCGTAGAGCACCGACCCTCGTAGCCGGGAGATACCTGTAGAGGGGAGACAATGTGGAGAGTTAATGTGGCGAGTGAGGCAGTAAACAAGTGGTTCCCCCGAGTGAGGCAGTAAACAAATTGCTACCCCTGCAACCTGTCCTCACACTAGACTTTAAAGCAGCGGTCAAACCAATGATGGTGATTATTTTAAGACTTGTGTCTACGGTGGAATAGGGACCAAAGTCACAGGACTGAAAGTAAGCACTATTATACAGGCATATGGGTAGAGCTTAGCGCTTTCCATTCCTATAGCTCATCTTAAGCCCTTACCCTCTAAGTTTCTTCCTGGAACACGACCCGCCAATCGATTTAAAACCAGGTGCCCAATTACTGCTGTGTGAACACAGGCTAACAGTTAAGAATAAGTGCCCAGTCGATTTTCCCTTTCTAGAGGGAACTCCGCCAAAATAGATCTGTGGGACGAGCATACTCCAGCTGCGCCAAGGTGCGGGGAATGTGCACTGATACAAGCGCTCTGGTCTAAACCAATCCACACAGCTAACTACACAGTGTAAGGATACAAACACATTCCCACTCAAACCAATAACATCCCCACTGTAACCCCCCCCCCCCACTGCAACACACGTACATCTCCACCATCGCAACACCTATATGCACCACCACAGCAACACATGCATATACCCCCCACTGCAGCACCCACCCACTACAGCACCTGACCTACATACGCAACACCCAGAAATGCTCCACTGGGAGCAGCTTGAACCGCTGCTGATCCGAAAATAGATTTTGCTTCCCTCACACACTCAGCCGCCGACGATAATGAGGCTGTGGAGGAGGTTTTGTTGACTGACTCCTTTGGTGTATTCAAGCCAAAGTGGGTAGCATGCGGGCCAAAGTACCTGGCGAACTAATATCTGGACGACATTCTGAAGTATCTGTGAGAGACAAAGTACAGTACCAGGAATACAACCATGACGCCTCGATATGCATCGAAGGACATACCAAACCAACCAAAGCACGATCCTTAGTAATTAACGTACAAATCAAACTACTTGAGAGTAATTTAAAGGTAAAACTTCTTAAGAAAAATATGCGAGTCAAAGTGCCTCTGGCATATTAGTTTAAAATATGTCAGTTTCGTGGAACTGGGCGACGTTACTTGGAAATCAGACAATTATGTCAATCGAAAGTGGATAACAATCCCAGCGGTCAATAGGAAACAAGGCAAAAAATCAAAACAAAAAAAATATGACTGTTGAAGATAATAAGATGACTTAACAAGCTGAAAACCTCCTTTTACGAGGGACCAGAAAGCAAACGAGGAATTCAATTAGGCTTTTGCTTTATCGTTTCGGTTGGGTGTTGGACCTATAAACAAAGAGGCTGTTCGGCCGTCACAATTGTTCACTGATAAGTATATTTCAGTCCTGTATTTAAATAACACTTAAAGTAAACCTAATATAGATATACAAGAACTGCTGTAAACTTTACCATAAATATGTTTGATATTTAGTTATTATCGTTAACACTGTCTATACATAATATTTAATATTTTTTTCATAAAAAAATAATAGTTTCGTAAGTTTATGTAATTCTGTCCGCGCTGGTTATTATTGTCAAGTTTATTGTACACTACCATAGAAGGTTTTAAGGGAGTTGTGTTTGAGGTGAGAGGTCGGCGCCAGCCTGCCTTACAGCATGACGCTGGTAAGGGCTAGACCCAATGTGTTGGCAGCTAGTAGGCTAAACTGTTCTTGTATACTAGGACTAGTTGTGCAGTTCTATATATACGTATACATACACACAAATAGACATATATGTATATACAATTATACATACACATGAAAATATACATACACCTACGCAAATATACATACACCTACGCAAATATACATGCATACAGACGCGAGTACACACACATGAACACAAACATACACACACACAAGCCACACATATACATATACATGATCATTATACGACACATACACGAGACCAGCCCTATTGTTGAGTCCATAAAGAATCTTTAAAAGGCACAGAGGTTAGCAAGAAGGCTCGTCTCGGAACTTTGTAGGATGGGGTAGGAACAGAGGTTGAGAGATGTGATCCAAATGATGTTAGTGAAGGGGTATGAGACAAAATATCCATGGTATGAAAAGAGAGTCACAATAACGTGGTCAGACAACGCTTTCCTGCATCCCCCCCTTTACCTCCCCCGTCCCCCTCCCCACCTGAAAGGGATCACTTATACACTTCATCTCCGCAACCCCCAGATAACCCCAATTGCCTTCTTGTCTAAATTAGAGGAGTATACACTAACTCGCAAGTTTCAAGGTTTGTATACAAGTGCTGACTGAATCATAAACAAAACAAATGAGCTTAAGGAGTTAAGTACCTGTAAGGAACATACTATGGTGCATACCCTAAAAGCGGAAAAAATACTGAAAAGACACAGAAAAACTAAAGAGGTCTTGTTCGGGAAACTGAAATTATAATAATGAATCTATTAGCACATTATACACCTCATACGAGACCAATATTGGAACATGGAACCTTTACCGTGTTAAGAACGCAAAGAAAATGTAAACAGCCTTATGACTGTCAAAATGCTGGTCTTTGCCCTACAGGACCAAGGGTTAAAAGATAGACGGAACAAACTAAAATACTTCCATCGTTGTGAGGCAGCTCCTATATATTTTCAACGAAACTGATCCACATATATGTATAACCATAGCTTGAAACAATCCAACGATCTCACGTCTATTATGTTACTCTGAAATTTATTCCATAAATCAACAACCCTTTTCCCAAACGAGTATTTACCCAGGTCTTTCCTGAATATAAACTTCTCCAGCTTGTGTACATTGTTTCGTGTTCAATATTTGTTTATATATTTAAAAGCTTATTAACATTGCTTTTATTATAACCTTTCATCCAATTATATACGTCACACGTTACACTTCATCTTTCTAATATACAATAAGGTTTAAATAATTTATCTTCGCAAGGAAGGCTTCTAATTCCTGGGAATAAATTTGTTATCATTCTCTGAACGTGATCAAGTGAACTTTATCCATTTTTACAAAGTAGAGATCAAAGCTGAACTACACACTCTGAATGGGTCCCAACAAGGGCAAGATGAAGCTGAAGGTTAATATTAGACGTCTTATTAGTTTTCAGAATCATATTTTTATTATTACGAACATTTATACTTTGATTTTTCTGGCATAAAATCCGTTTTATCATGACTCCCAAAGGTGTGGGAGAGAGAGAGAGGGGGGGGGGATAATGTGGGAGAGAGCGAGAGAGGATGGTGTGTGGGAGGGGGAGAGTGGTGTAGGAGGGGAACTGGATGTCAGAATTAACTAGTTTCCGCGTCTATTCCTAGCTGTGGTTCACGTGGCTCTGACAGGGGGCGAGTTCCCTGGGTGGGTGCGCCATAGTAGGGGAAGTGGGAGATTTCGGGTGGGGGGGTGAGATGGGAAACTTGGGGGGGTCTAAAGGTGAAAAGGTAGAGGGGAAGGAGAAAGGGAAGTTTGAGAGGTAGAGTGAACAATAACATTTCAGAAACAGTAGAGGTGGAGGAAATTCTGAAATTAAATTTACAGAACATCGTGAAATTTAGAAGCAGGCAACACAACATCCAGGTGGTAATTCAGGACCAGGCTACAACCCTGTCAACACCCAAGTGGAGGCTCAGGACCAGGCTACAACTCTGTCAACACCCAAGTGGAGGCTCAGGACCAAGCTACAACTCTGTCAACACCCAAGTGGAGGCTCAGGACCAGGCTACAACTCTGTCAACACCCAAGTGGTGGCTCAGGACCAAGCTACAACTCTGTCAACACCCAAGTGGTGGCTCAGGACCAAGCTGCAACTCTGTCAACACTCAAGTGGAGGCTCAGGTCCAGGCTACAACTCTGTCAACACCCCAGTGGTGGTTCGGGGCCAGCCAACAGCACTAGCTAGTGTTTTTCTTAAACCCTGCAATCTTGACAATTTGGCCAATTCTGCAGAAAATGGGCGAGATCAATTATGATTCAAATCTAATCTCTCCCTCCTACTTGTCTATTCGTAGTCGAAACTGTTCGTCCACTTCAGGAAGTGTGGTACACGGAATGAACCGCCTCTCAACGTTCGTTGTTCAGGCTTAAACAACACTCCCACACTATAATCAGAATGTTTAAAGGCGACAGATTCCTAAGAACATGTTCATAATAATATTGAATAGCTTGTCAGATATTTTGAGTAGAAGCAATATTTAAATTTGCAATCGATATTGAATTGTATTAGATATTGAAATATTAATTACTGTTACCACTTATTATATAAAATTATATTAGCATTGAATTTAGTTAACATTATTGTCTAGATATTCCTCTTTTCCGTCCCCAGAACGAAGGGACACACAGAAAAGACCAGGACGAGGGGACGAATATGGAAACTGACTACACAAAAAAATAAGAAATGCAAGAAGTATCTTCATTCTGAGGATAGTGAGAAGGAATGGTTGATTACCATTAGATTACCCGAAGACGATTTCTAGAGCTCTTCCCATGCAGCTCCTCTCTCCATCATCACACAAAACCCCTCTCAACAATACCCTACCTCTCTCAGGCATACCCTTCCAGGGTATGCCTGCAAGGACTGTGGAAGGACAGAAATGGGTGGAAGGACACCATTTCTCACACACCCGCCCCCACATACATTTTACCCCAACTCGTCCACCAAGAACACTGTCATCGTCGCTTACATACCTGGCACGAGGATGTCTGCGACCTTGAGCACATTGCGACACAGCTCCTCCTTCCTTGCTAGGTGTATGGGGGTGAGGTCGTCCAGTTCGTACCCTTCCTCAGAGCCATATAAGTGCAGCAGCGCGTATTTGACCTGTGGTAGGCAGAGCAGATAGTTAGTTTGTCGGGAAGAGAGAGAGAATGCGAAACTATATTTTGACTGACAACTCTGGAAACATCAAAACCACAAAATGAATGTTAGCTTGGTCTGTGTGTCAACAACATTAACGTAAAGCCCTTTTGTGATGTAATAACTCCCGCAGTCTTGTTGCTACGATTCTCGTAGACACAAGCCAGCTCAGGCTTCTTCGTTTCATGGTGGAAGGAAGCTACATCATCTCTACAGGAAGCACCAGACTCTGCGGTATGGTTAGTTAGGGAAGGAAAGTGAACGTAGTTGGTATCTCGTCCCTTCCCCTTGAAACTCACCGTAAAGAGTTTTTTGGCTAAAGTATTGCCCAATTATTTCACGATGATCGCTTCAATCACCCAGGTGAAAATTATTTTCACACTAACAAACATACGGGGACGATGATGATGCAGGCGTCATCATAATTAACATTCATGCTGTCAATATTTAACTTTAACATGATGGCGTACTCTTAGGAATAAGTGATGTTCTCCCATGAACAGAACATGAACATGTTCTCCCTTGTGCGGGCGGGTCTCCTCACACGCCACAAAGTGTATATTTCAGGGCAGAAAGTGACAATGTTAGTGGCGCCGGACTGAATGTGAAAATAGGGGATAATATTATTATTAGTATTAACAATTATAATAATCTGAATCTGATCGAATATGACAAACTTTAGTTGCACTAAATGTATGACAATAGATGCAGAAATATCATACTTGTCGACAAACAATAAACATATCGATAGACAATGAATAATATATCGACAGACAATGAATAATATCTCGACAGACAATGAACATATCGGAGTGAAAATATTGACTCAGCGAACATGTTAATGACAGCGATAACAACGTATCAGGAACAGAAATTTAAATTTGTTTTGCTCGAAAACATAATTAAGCAAATTCCTTATTATAGCGTTTTTCCGGTAAATAACCTGGAATGCATTAAGCAGTGATGTGGTGGGGGCAGACTCCATACACCGTTTCAAATGCAGATTTGATAGAGCCTAATAGGCTCCAGAATCTGTACACCAGTTGATTGACAGTTGAGAGGCGGGACCAAAGAGCCAGAGCTCAACCCCCGCAAGCACAACTAGGTGAGTTCAACTAGGTGAGTACACACGCGCGCGCAATGGTGGGGGTAGGGAGTAGTGTGGCCAGATTAGCTTCTGGTGCGTTAGTAATGGTGAGGATGGTGAACAATACTGATAGTGAGGATGGTGAACAATACTGATAGTGAGGATGGTGAACAATACTGATAGTGAGGATGGTGAACAATACTGATAGTGAGGATGGTGACCAATACTGATAGTGAGGATGGTGAGTCAAACACTACAGGTTACCAGGCCGTCAACAGCCTAAGACAAGATAATTATCAGTAAGCTTAAGCCTCAGTATCATCACCATATCTAACTACTAATCAGCGCCTCTAAATTGGAAGATAACAAAGCTGTGGTGATATGTGTTGGTGTCTACTTCACCATGTTCTTAAATGTTATATGTATAGAACGTCCAGAATATTATTTCTAAGCTTACAATCCATTTCCTATACTTCGTCAATTATTAGAATCAGTTATACAACTCTTTGTTGTTCCCTCGACTTTCCGCAAATCATGTTAGGCACTAATTGGGACTTAATTTTAGGCCCCTTCTTGACGGACTCATTGATATCCCTGTCTGAAAGAGGGGCTTATTGGTACACCTGCCCGAAAGAGGGGGCATATTGGTACCCATTCTTGAAAGGGGGGTCTATTGGTACCCCTTCTTGAAAGGGGGTCTATTGGTACCCCTTCTTGAAAGGGGACCTATTGGTACCCCTTCTAGAAAGGGGGCCTATTGGTACCTCTGCCTGAAAGCAGGCCTATTGGTACCACCCCTGCCTAATTGCGAGGATGGGGCCTTTCGCACCCTTGCGTTAAAGGGAGGGCCATTGGTACCCTGTCAGAAGAGAGAGAGGCATTGTCACCTCCTTGAATGAAGGGGAATTGGCACCCCTGCCTGACCTGTAACAAAGCCCGTTGCAACGAGGTCAGGCGTTTTAAGAAATGGGTATATACGTGTGTATAAATATTCATACCCTATACTGTGTACAAACATTGATATATACCATGTTTACTATATAGTGCCCAGGACGCTAAATTTAAATTGGCACCAGAGGTGCAAGTGTGTGTGTCCTTGTTTTGCATCTTGGCGTTGGGCTTAACGCCTCTCAACGTATGGAAGGTTATTAATGCAACAACAACAGCTTATTGACCAACTACCTAAAACAATTTAGTCCTGAACATAGTCCAAAACTAAAGTAAACTCTCAGGTCTATATACACACACCGAAAAGCGATTTACATCTCTCAGTATATATATATCTTGCCATACTGTTTTTTTTTTATTTGGTAAGTTAATTAAGTTTTGGTCAAAACAGGAGTGGTGCCTGTAGTCAATGCTAAAAGGGTATTATCTGGTGATATTAATAAAATTATAATATGGATTATTTTGTGCATTTCTCTGGTTGTGTTAACTCATTCTATATATACTATTCTTATATACAAAGTAGATACGTATTATTTGTTGCAAATTTCTGTAATTAATTTTGGAGGAAAATAATATTCGAGTTCAGAAGGGAGGGAAGGGAACTATCAGGAAAAAGTGCCATGCCATTTCGATTATATAGCACTTGGTGGAAGGGGTCAGGATAAGGATTTGGGATGGGTCTGGGGGGGGGGTGAAATGGTGCCCAACCACTTGGATGGTCGGGTACTGAACGCCCACCTGCCTGAAGCGAGACCGTCGCCCTACCGTCCACCCCAAGTGGTTGGTCTATTCGAGATTGGAAGTCATTCAGACATTCGGCAGAAGCTAAAGTACAAATGATTGAATATATTTCTGATAGTAAATATTTTTATATTTACAATAAACTAATAAATTAATTCAAAATAATTAATCTAACTTCTTGCATGTATATTACTACTTTTCTTTAGATCAAATTATGTCTTCAAAACACCTTGTGGTTATTCAATTCATATTGAATCGACTCGTATCAAGGTGTATAAGTCGGCCGACACTCATCCGGCTTTTAGTCTGAACACTTCAGGACCTGGCGTCGTGCGGACCATTACAGTCCAACGGGGCCGGGTGTAATGGACCAGGTAATGTTGTAACGGGACCAGGAATAACGTGGCTAAGTGTAACGGGCCAGGTGGTCCCATATATATATTCCTTCTGACTGATAAATAGACTCACCAACGCATTTTGATGCAAAAGCTAACGGAGTACAGTACCTCCTTTTGGTTGATTTTGGAGGCAAGACTCATCCAATCAAACGGTATTGATAATTGTGCGTAATGCGCGATTACATTAGGAATGAATCATGCACGAAGAGGCATTTATAGCTTTTCATTGTAATCTCATGAAACGTGGGAAACGGATAACTATGAACAATTACATTTCTCTCGATAACAGACTAAATATCGGGAGATTGATATACAAATTAATTTAAATTAATTTAGTTAACCTTTACCAAAACGTCTGCGCACCGTCACAAGGAGAACAATTATATTTGCATAAAACTTGGGTCATTTATGACTCAATTGGGCAACAATTTGGACCAAAACATGAATAGTTACATTCTAGTAGGCTTACGCATGCCACAATAATCACGTGACAGTTGTTCAGTTATACAATAACAAACTCTCTGCTGGACGCAGCAGGTCAGTACTCACGTTGATGAAGATGGCGTGGTCCGGGTGGAAGAGGTGGTTCCACTTCTCCAGGAATGCTTCACACTGTGCCACTGTAGGCGAAGACGCCTCCAATTCCTCTGCCTCTTCGGCCACTACTTCAGTGATCCTATCCGGATAGTCGTCCGAGGTAGGAAACCCACAGGATAAGCATTTCCAGGTCGAAGATGGCGAGATGGGGTCCTGTGGGACTATCCAGGGACCCGGCTCGTCATCGCCCTCTGCACCGCCTTCCTTACTGGACGCCGGCCCGTCTGCACCAGCGTTCTGGAACTGTGAGATACGACTCATGACTCCCCCGCGCTTCCCTCCCCTGACGGCTCCTCGCCCTGCTGGCTGCTTGCCCTGCGGCGAGCTCTTCTTCTGGCTCTCCTCCTCGGCTCTCTTCTTAACACAGTCCGCACACTTCAGGGCGGACACGTAGGTCTTCAGTTCCGTGGGATCTACACAGCGCTTGCAACTACAAATGAAATATTTTGAGGAGCGTAGATGTTCCTGTCTGGTGGATGTGGTTGTGAGGGGGTCAGTGTAGCAGGAGGTGAGGTGGTCCCCGCGTTTGATGGGAATGGCGGCTCTAACTACGAGATTGAGATCAGCGTCAAACGTGCGGTGAGTATTGGTAACGCAGTCGTGTTCCAACATGGACGCCTTCTCGTATACTCCCAAGATACTCGAATCTGGAAGACGGATTTCAAAGGCGTTAGTATCAATGACGCCCAGTACCTTCTCTATTGTTTCTGTGTCGTATTCTTCGAGTTTCAATCTGTCGTGTATGATGTCTACGACCGTCTGCTGGGTGATGGCAGCCACCTCAGTGCCGACGCGCATTTCACTGTTGCTCTCAAGTGCCATCATCTTGTTCCACACGCTCGGGTCAGTGTCTCTGAGAGCCAAGATCCTGACGGGTGTGATACACTCGTACATACTGTTGATGTCGCCGTAGACTGATACTTTGACGGGGATGCCAGAGTCCCTAACAGCTTTACACTCTGCCTCGTGGTCGTCGGTGCCCTCACACTGGGAGCCACAAATGGGGAAGCCACACCCCCGACACTGGTGATCCCCGTTGCTGAGGGGACGGTAACACCCGAGGCAGACTGGCTCCGTGAGCATCTTGGGTCCCAGCAAGAGTGGCTTGTCTTCTAAGAGCAGTTCTCCAGGTGCGATGTCTCTGGTGGCCACCATGAAGCGACCCAACTCTGACGAGCAGCCAATGCGCCATGGGCGACACTTTGGCCGGTGCTTGACCCAACCGGTTATCTGGTGGTCTCGCGCACAGAACCCCAGCTGCCAGCACCCTCCGCACACGATCGTCGCTGGTTTCTGACACTCTGCACAGTTTATAGATTTGGGTTGTTCACTATTTGGTGAGAGGCCGTTGGTTAAGGCTAAACCTGAGGCCTGTAGAGCGATCTGCAACGGCACTGCGGCCGGCACGTCAGAGTGGCTCTCTCCTGGCATCTGTTGACGGACACAAGGCTCTTTGTAAGTATCTATCAAAAGAAAGATTCGTTAACAGAAAATACGTATACAAGTATCACAATATCTGCATGCAGTAATCTGTGTTCACCAATCAAAAAGATGAACACTCACGTCATGAATCACAGCAGAGGGAGGCGGCACAGAGCACCGTCACATGGTAAGTGCAGAAAAGAATTATTCAACATTCATCGCTTATAAATCCGGAACTGACACGAAGAAGCTATTAAAATACTCCATCCTGATGATTTTGTTATATTTCTGATTCCTAGACTATGATAACGGCACAGTATATACACTGACCTTACTCAAACACAGTAACTCGTTCTACAGTCACAGTAGACTCCCATACATTTTAATAATAATAATAATAATAATAATAATAATAATAATAATAATAATAATAATAACAATAATAATAATAATAATAATAATAATAATAATAGCAATAATAATAAATAATAATAATAATAGCAATAATAATAATAATAATAATAATAATAAAAAAAATAATAATAATAATAATAATAATAATAATAAAAATAATAATAATAGTAATAATAATAATAGTAATAATAATAATAGTAATAATAATAATAATAATAATAGCAATAATAATAATAGCAATAATAATAATAGCAATAATAATAATAATAATAATAAAAAGGGCTCAGAGAGTGTATTGAAAAAATTGAGTTGTTGCTTTCTTCTGAGGCAGCCATACAAATGAGTGGTATCGTGAAGAATTGTGAAAGTTTTGATTTCTCGTTAGACCTTCCTTTCTTATACCAACGAACTCAAATTAATCTCGTGGCCTCGGTAACTCAACCCCGTCGACGCAATATCAAAGAGTGGAGTTGGTTCGGTACTGAATTTGTGTTGCTGTTGTAAATTTTACGCACTGGGACCTGCCGTCCGCCCTCCTCGCCGGCTCAACCTCAACTGTGGAGAAGTGCCGGCGGAAACTGACAGAACCATCATACCGGACAAAGAAATATCGACATATTAATAAAAGCTATTCCTCAGATCCGTAGATATCATTTTAATGGCTACAATTTTCCTAGTTCTTATAGTCGTGTTTGCTTGTATACCTCTTAAATCAGTGTTGATTCACAATTCCCACTAGGCTTTTATTTTTAATTTTTTTGCGTCTCTTTTGCCGGGGGGGGGGGGGGGCCAGTTTATCATCGCTATATAATTTTACATTGTCCTTTCTGACTAACAGTTTACACAAAAGCCCACTCTCATTAATTGTCCCTTACTCCTGAAATCACCGTCACTGGTTGACCTAGCAGTGCGTTAAAGGAACCTTTTTTTTTTCATGGACGTCCACACTTACTAACCACTGAATTTTCCCAGTACTTTGTTGGCTTAACAATTATGTCTTGTCACATCATTCGTTGCTTCTTGTAACTATAACAACTATGTTTGTTTTATCATGAAGATTCTTGGACACCAAACCGTCATACCATGATCCCAGCGGCACATAACCATGGATATGGTGGCGACCACACCATATCACCGGAAAAGAACTTTTGGTCCTAAAACTTGATCTGTTGTCTATTTTCGCCCTTAACGACCTCTGAACCCCCCTTCCCCTCCCACCTTCCCTTCAGAACGTCCTCTCTCATGCCCATGACAATGGGTTTAACCAGACCACTGTTATTCCAACCAATGACTTGACGCGAATGTCAACCTCCCGTTACATGTGTTTAATTATGTCTTTTCTCTCTTATTATATGCATATCTAGCCACTGAGTGAAGAGCAACGATCAGTTGACGCCATTAACACCCCGTCTGGCCACCAAGCATCAAGTCTTACTCGACAACCCAACATTCAAGCCTAGCCAACTGATGCACGCGCCACTGTGACGCGGCCCCCCAACATTCACAGGTCATTGGGTGGATACATGTAAACTGTATGTATCATAAAGGAGTTAGCAGTTAATACACAGTAAATTGGTGTGATAAGTGTGTCAGGATGTTATGCAATGCTATGTCAGTTTGGTAATAAAATATAGGTGTATGAGTTGGCATGATGTTACTCTATATACTTAAGACTTTAATATGTTATTATTTGCCCCGTAAATGAAATCTACGATGGAGAAATCTACAAACCCCGCTACTATGGCTATATATATTATATTATTTAAATATGTCACCAGCAACAACTGGTGATTAGCGATACATGCAAAGAGTATAAAAGAGAGAGGCAGGCGTCCTCAGTCCGCTCGCCCCACACTACTGGCAAGCTTGCCAATATTTAAGGAGATAATGTCAGACATGCACCAGGACCAGTCAACACCTACCATATACTTCTGTAGTCTAAGTTTACCAGTTTACAGATCCTAGGTATTTATAAACATTTAGTACACCTCTTACATATCTGACTTTCTCCTTCTGTTTAAGTATACTATATATGTTATGAAATATATCTAACTTCCTTCAGTTTTGTCAGTATACTATACTGCGCATCAGGCTGGGTGATGCGCACTAGCTGGGCGCATGAGCAGGTTGTTGGTGAATGTACAGTACATTATTAACAATATAGAGGATGATGGCAAAAGCCATTAGGAACATAAGAACAAAGTGTACTTCAGAAGGCCTATTGGCCAATACGAGGCAACTCTTGTTTTATTCCCACCGAATCGCCTAATTCATATAGTCTAACCTACGCTTGAAACACTCCAGCAATCCCAGACCTTACCTGATATTTAGTTTTATAAATCAATAACGCTGTTTCCAAACCAGTATTTACCCAAGTTTTTTTTTTATAAATCTAAACCTATTCAATTGATTTCCACTCAAATAAATTATTATGGGTGCAACAGTGACGTCACATAATTCCCGTTGTTGGAGACAGGAAGTCTGTACATAGGCTTATCGAGGTGTTCACTAGGCCAACTACTGACGTGTCACAGGATGCAAGCCACAACAGTTATCTGCCCCAGTGGATACCTACTGCTAGGTGAACAGAGGCATCGGGTAAAAGGTAACGTATCTAACCGTTTCTGTTCTTCCTGGCTGTAAGCCGAGGAAGTAGACCACTGTGCTAAAGGCGCCAGCATCATTTGACATTGCCTTGATTGCAAGAATTAACCAACAAACGTGAATAATTATGTTTTTATCAGCAGTTAAATCTGGATTTTTACAATGACATCAACACATTTCTTGATCGTACAAGAGAACCATAAGAAACTCTCCATGACAGTTGGCTAAATAACTGCTTTAAGAGTATCGAAACAAATACGTGTATATTAAGAATATCCAACCAAGCAAAGTGTATGGTGATGAAGCCAACACTACTGGGGCAGTGTATCTGGGTCGGTTGGGTGTGTGGGGGGGTGTGTGGGGGGGGTGTGGGGGGGGTGTGTGGGGGGGTGTGTGGGGGGGTGTGTGGGGGGGTGTGGGGGGGTGTGTGGGGGGGTGTGGGGGGGTGTGGGGGGGTGGGGGTGGGGGTGGGGGTGGGGGTGGGGGTGGGGGTGGGGGGGGGGGGTGGGGGTGGGGGTGGGGGTGTGGTGGGGGGTGTGGTGGGGGGTGTGGTGGGGGGTGTGGGGGGGTGTGGAGGGGTGAGTATGAAGCCTGGGGCGTGTGGGTATTGGGATAAACATTGCTGGTACACACAACTTTGGTAAAAAATTTCAGTAAACTCTCAACATTACAAGATACAGTTGTCTTGTGAACTTAAAACGTTCACAAACAACTCCGATGCATAAATGTTCCTTACCATTATCAATGTCAAACTAGATTGGGTAGCAGGCTACAAATGTCTCGGTATATCTTAACAAGAGCAGGAACTTTCTGTAGCAAAGGTGATACATGATGGAGAGATGCCAGTTATGTCCGGACACAAGACAGATGGTAAACAACACACACAGGACTTGTGTCCGGACACAAGACAAATGGTAAACACAACACACTCGGGACTTGTGTCCGGACACAAGACAGATGGTAAACAACACACTCGGGACTTGTGTCCGGACACAAGACACACGGTAAACACAACAGACTCGGGACTTGTGTCCGGACACAAGACACACGGTAAAAACAACACACTCGGGACTTGTGTCCGGACACAAGACAGACGGTAAACACAACACACTCGGGACTTGTGTCCGGACACAAGACAGACGGTAAACACAACACACTCGGGACTTGTGTCCGGACACAAGACACACGGTAAACACAACACACTCGGGACTTGTGTCCAGACACAAGACAGACGGTAAACACAACACACTCGGGACTTGTGTCCGGACACAAGACACACGGTAAACACAACACACTCGGGACTTGTGTCCGGACACAAGACACACGGTAAACACAACACACTCGGGACTTGTGTCCGGACACAGGACACACGGTAAACACAACACACTCGGGACTTGTGTCCGGACACAAGACACACGGTAAACACAACACACTCGGGACTTGTGTCCGGACACAAGACAGACGGTAAACACAACACACTCGGGACTTGTGTCCGGACACAAGACACACGGTAAACACAACACACTCGGGACTTGTGTCCGGACACAAGACACACGGTAAACACAACACACTCGGGACTTGTGTCCGGACACAAGACAGATAGTAAACACAACAGACTCGGGACTTGTGTCCGGACACAAGACAGATAGTAAACACAACAGACTCGGGACTTGTGTCCGGACACAAGACACACGGTAAACACAACAGACTCGGGACTTGTGTCCGGACACAAGACAGACGGTAAACACAACACACTCGGGACTTGTGTCCGGACACAAGACACACGGTAAACACAACACACTCGGGACTTGTGTCCGGACACAAGACAGACGGTAAACACAACAGACTCGGGACTTGTGTCCGGACACAAGACAGACGGTAAACACAACACACTCGGGACTTGTGTCCGGACACAAGACACACGGTAAACACAACACACTCGGGACTTGTGTCCGGACACAAGACAGACGGTAAACACAACACACTCGGGACTTGTGTCCGGACACAAGACAAACGGTAAACACAACACACTCGGGACTTGTGTCCGGACACAAGACAGACGGTAAACACAACACACTCGGGACTTGTGTCCGGACACAAGACAGACGGTAAACACAACACACTCGGGACTTGTGTCCAGACACAAGACAGACGGTAAACACAACACACTCGGGACTTGTGTCCGGACACAAGACAAATGGTAAACAACACACTCGGGACTTGTGTCCGGACACAAGACAGACGGTAAACACAACAGACTCGGGACTTGTGTCCGGACACAAGACACACGGTAAACACAACACACTCGGGACTTGTGTCCGGACACAAGACAAATGGTAAACACAACACACTCGGGACTTGTGTCCGGACACAAGACAGACGGTAAACACAACACACTCAGGACATCACTCTCGGGAACACTGCTCTTCACTGATCACTCTTAAAAAGAAAACACCAAACCCTTGAAAATTAATCAAATCAAACCAGAAGAGAGATGCTATAATACAAAGTGAGAAGAGGTGACGTGGGAGAAGGTGAGGTGCAAGCGGACAAAGAAATAATACCAAGCTAAAGAAAGAAAGGAACACTAAAATAATTAATTAGAGAAGGGAAAAGTAAATGCAAAAAAAGAGAACACTAAATGAGACACAAAGAGGCAGGGACAGAAGAGCCCCTCACACCTCGCATTGTTTCTACCACTATAAGAGTTCCATTACGAAACAGCCTAGTTATAATCTAATGCTCTGTTCCTGTTTCAATTAGACACCCAACCCACAAATCTGAAAACTTTATAACCATTTGAAACATTCGAGCCGCCACCAATCAACTAATATGAAGCCTAAAACAAGACGAAATCAAGGGGTTTCAGTGGAAATATAGCCTAATATAACTTATTCCCATCAGCTAGTTAGTACGGAGAAGTTACCGGGTGAATACCTCTGCAACACCTCCGCCATCTGACTGATACATGTACATGTCGCCCACCTTCAGTTGGAACACCATCAGTGAAAGAAGGACAGATAACACAGACTGCGACAACACTATTCATATCCTTGCGAGATTAGGATCAACATTACACAACACACCAAATGCAAATATTCATGATAATCAAATTGGTAACCAGAGTGCTTATAACCAACATTTACGTAGCTTTCATTTACTCCAATAGTTAATTAAGGCATGTAAGGGATCTCCTACAAAAGCAACTGTATCACTGACAGATGAACACAAATTTGTTTCAGAAATATTGTGTAACTCTTTTTGTAACAATTCCCATTACGCAAGTGGATAACAAATAGATAATTACATGAATTACATTTTAAAGTTGTGGAAATATTAATTGTTCTACAAAAGAGGACTATCATAACACTCAACTGCTACCGAGCTCGTTCACTCTTACCGAGCTCGTTCACTGTTGCTACCGAGCTCGTTCACTGTTACCGAGCTCGTTCACTGTTGCTAACGAACTCGTTCAGTGCTGCTACCGAGCTCGTTCACTGCTGCAACCGAGCTCGTTCACTGCTGCTAACGAGCTCGTTCACTGCTGCTAACGAGCTCGTTCACTGTTGCTACCGAGCTCGTTCACTGCTGCTACCGAGCTCGTTCACTGTTGCTACCGAGCTCGTTCACTGTTGCTACCGAGCTCGTTCACTGCTGCTAACGAGATCGTTCACTGCCGCTAACGAGCTCGTTCACTGCTGCTAACGAGATCGTTCACTGCCGCTAACGAGATCGTTCACTGCCGCTAACGAGCTCGTTCACTGCCGCTAACGAGATCGTTCACTGCCGCTAACGAGATCGTTCACTGCCGCTAACGAGCTCGTTCACTGTTGCTACCGAGCTCGTTCACTGCCGCTAACGAGATCGTTCACTGCCGCTAACGAGATCGTTCACTGCCGCTAACGAGATCGTTCACTGCCGCTAACGAGATCGTTCACTGCCGCTACCGAGCTCGTTCACTGCCGCTAACGAGATCGTTCACTGCCGCTAACGAGATCGTTCACTGCCGCTAACGAGATCGTTCACTGCCGCTAACGAGATCGTTCACTGCCGCTAACGAGATCGTTCACTGCCGCTAACGAGATCGTTCACTGCCGCTACCGAGCTCGTTCACTGCCGCTAACGAGATCGTTCACTGCCGCTAACGAGATCGTTCACTGCCGCTAACGAGATCGTTCACTGCCGCTAACGAGCTCGTTCACTGCCGCTAACGAGCTCGTTCACTGTCGCTAACGAGCTCGTTCACTGCCGCTACCGAGCTCGTTCACTGCCGCTAACGAGATCGTTCACTGCCGCTACCGAGCTCGTTCACTGCCGCTAACGAGCTCGTTCACTGTTGCTAACGAGCTCGTTCACTGCTGCTACCGAGCTCGTTCACTGTTGCTACCGAGCTCGTTCACTGCTGCTAACGAGCTCGTTCACTGTTGCTAACGAGCTCGTTCACTGTTGCTAACGAGCTCGTTCACTGTTGCTACCGAGCTCGTTCACTGCTGCTAACGAGCTCGTTCACTGCCGCTACCGAGCTCGTTCACTGTTGCTAACGAGCTCGTTCACTGCTGCTAACGAGCTCGTTCACTGCCGCTACCGAGCTCGTTCACTGCTGCTAACGAGCTCGTTCACTGTTGCTAACGAGCTCGTTCACTGTTGCTAACGAGCTCGTTCACTGTTGCTACCGAGCTCGTTCACTGCTGCTAACGAGCTCGTTCACTGCCGCTACCGAGCTCGTTCAAACTTTTTCAGGCGCTAGACCCTAACCGCCGAGACGGGAAGAGGAGTGTGTATGTCTGGGTATACAGTGTAGGGGTAAACTGTGACGTATCAGTTTAGATGTCTGGTATATGTATACAAATAGTTTACCTTATGTGGCCTTTAGGTGTATCTTGGACTTTAGTCATGTTTCTCTCATTATGGAGTAAACCTGAAAGTTTCAATGGTCACAATTTAAGGAGACGGTGAGTAGAAACTTGTTATTGATATACACATAGAGAGGTATACTCAGCTTCTCGGTGTATACATATTGAGTTTACTTTAAACCTGGACTATATTCAGGACTAAAGTATACTTGCTGATTGGTCAGGAGGAACTTGTGGTTACCTTAATGGCCCTAATGAAGAACAAGAACTTGCTGGACACACATACACGAGGACAGTAAGAACAAGAACTTGCTGAACACACATACACGAGGACAGTAAGAACAAGAACTTGCTGAACACACATACACGAGGACAGTAAGAACAAGAACTTGCTGAACACACATACACGAGGACAGTAAGAACAAGAACTTGTTGAACACACATACACGAGGACAGGGAGAACAAGAACTTGCTGAACACACACAAAACTCACCAAGGGTTGTAAAAAATTCATGTTTATCAACAACTGTTTTACTGCCAAATTATTCTCACCAGTTAGGGAAGACGAGCCAATTAGCTGGAGCAATACATGCAGTAGTTATGGTCACGTTGTTTGTGTAACGATCCTGAACACGTGGTAGTTAGTCACCACTGACGGCCGCTTTAGGCTGGGGCACCACCCGGAAGTATGGGCACCGGAAGAAGGCACCTTTTTTTCTCCGTGTCATGTATTAGACAGTGTTTACCTTCCGTCTACAAGGAAACATTACGTTTCGTCTTGGAAAACCTACACCTGAATGATTTTTTTCAGTCAAATCGAAAGTTTTATTGATTCTCCTCTGCCTTAGGCTAGCCATTGAGCCTAAATTTATTGTCTTAAGCCAGCCTTTGGGGTCTGAATTTCCTCAGTTTTGGATCAGCCTTTACGCCTAAATTTCCTCAGCCTCAGGCCAGGATTTGGACCTAAATTTCCTCAGTCTTTTGCAAGCCTTTGGGCCTAAATCTCAACATTTCTAAAATTTGTTATTCATCTAACTCAAAATAATAAATAAACAAATCCCAACACTTTAATTATTTGTTAAATTACCGGTCCCAGCTCCAGGTGATTCCTAGCTGAAGTACAGCCGAATATGACTCATAGCTAGGCTAGGACTCATGGTGCTCTCTAGAGCTCTTAGTGATTTTCAGCTAGGGTTGAAGGTTTAGGTGACCCCAAGCAACCTAACTGGGTTGCTGGGTCTAGCAACCCAATCTCCACTCTGGGTCTTACTAACCAGCACCTACTCTGGATCTAACTAACCAGCCTCCACTCTGGGTCTAACTAACCAGCCTCCACTCTGGGAACGGACTAATTCTAGCCAAGAAAGTATCAGTTTCATCGAGCATCTGGAGGCTCTGAAGTGATCGGCATAAACTCCATCAGAGGAAGACATTAGCATCTGCAAACCTCTGTTATTGCGTCACCAGAAAGTCACTCGCGTCCGTGCGATAACCTCACACGACGGTGAGTGTACAACACATCTGCAAGCCGACTATATTTCTGGTATCTGAAAGAAGCGAATGAATCTGTGGATCCATGCAAATGATCTTACCTTGCGGAAACACTTGTTATAGGGGAAAAGTGTTAATTTAATTCTTGAACACTTCCTTCGGTGTGCGCTGAAACACTTTCGCAACACTGGCACCGTTAACGGCGTGGGTGTTGGCACTGACGGAGGAGGTGGAGAGATGTGTTGTGGTGCAGGAGGCACCTGGCCGCACACTGTCGGCACCCGGCGCCAGGCTCACCCCGTCACAACCCCCACCTTGGCACCCTCTCCCTTACACCCGTGCACCACGGGAGGCACGGAGGCGTGCAGGGACCCGCCAGGCACGTGTGGTCTTCGTGTTGTTGTTGTTGTCTTAGATTTAGCTACTCGGAACGAACTGTCCATGTAGCACGGGCTATGGTGAGCCCGTAATTAAGTTCGGTTTTCGTGATAACTTTGTTACTGTGATATTTTGGTCAAGGTTTTCAATGGAGGTGGAGGTTTCCTCCTTTTCTCCCCCATGTTGAAGACTGGGACACACTAGTGAACACTGTGCAACTATATCCGCCACCAAGATAATGTTATTAAGACAAGACTAAAACCAGTGCGCTAAAACAGAAGAGGAAAAGAAACGGGGGGGGGGGGGTGGTCTTCAGATATACCTGTCTTAAAGTTTAGTTAGTCCACCTCTCCATCATCTCTTGCTGAGTCGTACTTGCACTGTTTAAGCTAAGGGTCGGTAGCTCATTTTAAAGCCTGATACTGGCATGTGATTTGATCAGATGTTTTGGTCTGTGTCGGGAGGTGTTAGTATTTCTGGGGATATAAATAAGGTTTTCCTGTATTAGCACGAAATAGAACACGAAACAATGGGCATAAATAGGATAAGTTTAGATTTAGGAAAGACCTGGGTAAATACTGGTTTGGAAACAGGGTTGTGGATTTGTGGAAGATGGGTGTGGGGGTCGACTACCACCCACATGATGAGTGTAGGGGTCCACTACCACCCACATGATGAGTGTGGGGGTCCACTACCACCCACATGATGGGTGTGGGGGTTCACTACCGCCCACAGGATGGGTGTGGGGGTCCACTACCACCCACATAATGAGTGTGGGGGTCCACTACCACCCACATGATGGGTGTGGGGATCCACTACCGCCCACATAATGAGTGTGGGGGTTCACTACCACCCACATAATGAGTGTGGGGGTCCACTACCACCCACATGATGGGTGTGGGGGTCCACTACCACCCACATGATGGGTGTGGGGGTCCACTACCACCCACATAATGAGTGTGGGGGTCCACTACCGCCCACATGATGGGTGTGGGGGTCCACTACCACCCACATGATGAGTGTGGGGGTCCACTACCACCCACATGATGGGTGTGGGGGTCCACTACCGCCCACATAATGAGTGTGGGGGTCCACTACCACCCACATGATGAGTGTGGGGTTCACTACCACCCACATGATGGGTGTGGGGGTCCACTACCGCCCACATAATGAGTGTGGGGGTCCACTACCACCCACATGATGGGTGTGGGGGTCCACTACCGCCCACATAATGAGTGTGGGGGTCCACTACCACCCACATGATGAGTGTGGGGTCCACTACCACCCTCAAACTGGGTATAGAGTGCATGATAAATGAACTAAACAGAAACGTGTGTCACTGAAGACTGCTTATTTGTTTCTGTTGTTGAGATATGACTGAATGTTGGTTAGAGAGAGAGCGCTTGCATCCTGCAATGTCGAAGTTTAAGTAGGTTATCGTGATTTATTGCATTCATTGAATTAATCTTTTGTTTCAAATGATGTTACACAATGTAAAATAAATATATTTTTTCTGGGTTAAGAACGATATAAGAGCAAATACTGACACTCAAACGCCACAAAGCACGAGTATAAGGAGTTATATGTTGTGTATAACTAAGGACTATATGTACGGACAACACAAAACATCCACTAGACAGTGTGACATTGTAATCGCCAAAATTAGGCTGGGATATCTATACTAATGGCAGATGGCTGCCGGTAGTGAATCCCCAACGGTGACTGTCCTCCTAAGGTTTTCCAACGTCAAGAAACGTACTAAAGTGCCCTCTCCTAACCTACCAGACGACCCAAAATAGAAATACGAGAGCATGTCAATTACGCGAGCCGCTTACATTTTCTAGTACGACGATTTTTTGCCTGAAGTATGTCAAAATGTGACGTTATGTTAGGAGGACGGGTTAGTGCGATCATCCCGACTGTGAACAACAGTTGGGACACTCGCCCCAACACTATATTTTCGCGTGTCCTGTTATCAGTGACCTCAGGCTAATGGCAGGAGATACTCTGAGCTCTGTAACTATTCCATACTCACAAATATTGGGAGATAGGCGTCATGGGCTCTACCCAGAGTTTGTTAGTACAAGATAGTAGACTATATTCGCATGTCATGTTCTCTCCTGATTCCATGTATGACTAAACCATCCTGTGAGACTGAGATATTAGATGAACTTACGGTGTTATAATTAGGCGGGAAGGAACCTCACGTCTCGTCCACGTGGCGTTTATTTACAAAAGACAATGACGTCACGCCGAGTATCGGATACATGACTCAATATTTACAATACTTATAAAACAAAAGAGCATCTGCTCGTAACATTATGCACCTCACCTAAATAATCTAATCCTACAAAATACCTTAATGCTAACACACAGCTAGCTCTTGAGCTATACTCTATTTTTTCATATAGAATAGGGTAGCAGCACATTGTTGTGAGTACCTAGGCTTATTAATAAAAAAAACTGACCTCACTAGAAACAATACAATTTGGATTTGGTCCTGTGTAAGAAGAGCCATTAACTCACAACATATAAATAGCAACAAACTAGTCATCAGATTACATATAAATAACATACAATATCACCTGCAAGATCTGTGCAATAAATAATAATCATTTCAGTTCCATATTTTCGAAATACATTTTACGAGCAGTTAAGACACGAGTTCCAACTTTCCTTAATGGTATCCTGGCCCTTTGACGTCAACACCAGCCAGATTGGGGACCAGAATTTGACGATATATCCTTCAATATTTTAAGAATATATAGAATTGATTAATGTTGTAAGAAAGCTCAGAAAACTAATGTCCTGCAGTAGACAAATTAAATCAAGTAATTACGACCATTAATGAATGACAAACAAAAGAAAATATCAAATCTGATAAAAGAGAGGTACTTCTACAGTAACAAAATAAAAGAGCTCTATCTAATTGACCAGAGTGATAAATTAATAAAGAAAGGTCAAACAAGAATTAAGAAAATCTAAAATAGATTACGAAGCATGTATAGCCATAGGTGCTATATTAAGTCCTAAAGGATTTGTTAATTATATAAAAGAAAGACAATTTTTAATATTATTTTCTACCACAGATTTACAATGGTAACCAGTATAAATACATTTCCTTCTGTGTTCTGTGGACAAGGTTAGAGTTCTGTTAGACATAATGTAGTTCTTTATTGAGCACTCAACCACAGGAAGTGATTGTAGTACCTTTACAATGCTATAACCAACAAACGCACATTCTCGTCTGTGCCGCCCAGTTGGGTGGGTGTGGAGCAAGCCTAGTAACTGTGTGACTTAGTATACATGTAAACTGTCTTGTATGGAGACTCTTATGGGCCTCTTTCTGAATCACTTGTGATATAAAAAGACTGTTGATAATATGTAATATTAATAATTGTGTAACTAGCTTCACAAAATTATCACGTGCTTAGCTATATGAACTCCGGGTCTGTCGCGTTCCTGAACCCATTGTGGGCCTCTGTAACCCTTTCCACCTCCGCCCACGGGATAAGGTATGGGGTACATAATAAATAAATGAAATACAAAAAAGTTACACAGACAGGGTTAGAGGTCTGTTCTACATATTGTATAGCGGGTTATTGGGCACTCAATTGCTGGAGTAATTTTCCGAGGTCAAAATCTGTGGTTGTGTAAGCAGCCGTGGTCACTGCGGTTCCCTCATCTCTCATCACGTAAAAATGGACCTCATTTCAGACACCAAAACAAACATAACTCTGTTAATATTTTCTTAAGTTGGTTTGTGCTATTGATATGTTCTTTGTACTTAATGTTATTTAGTTGTATGAAAGTTATTATACATTTCAATGACAGTGCTCGCCTGAAAGTTTAATTGTCATGTTTATAATAATACATACATTGAACAATTTATTAATTATGAAATATTCCATTTCTCATCAATGTCTCCCAAGTTATTATCTTCCCGTAAGAGACGCAGGGACACGGAGTTATAATTTGTTTGTGGAGACATGCCATAAGTCATGAGGATGAGTCATTGATAGTCCCCCAGCCCTCACATGCCCTCTGGCCTCCCCCACGCTCCACCTTATCAACACCAACACCTCATTACCCTAATAACAAACATCTTAAACTATAAGTAAGTTACAAGTGGGATAAATATGTGTTAAAACTACGCCGAATTAAGTAAGTTCGTTTTGCCAGCTATAATCTTAGCCCTAATAAGTAATATTTTATATGGGCCGGTTAAGATGTAACACTGTCTGACATCTGTGACCTGATGACTCCCTCCCACCCCCCAAGGGAGTGAGTCTCCTCTATATAAACAGAATTTGATAGCGTGAGGAGCACCAGTGTTAGTGTGGACTCAGGCAAGGTGAGTGGTTGGTCCCGGCTGTATATTCTACCACATACATTCACAATTTATATAAGTTTTCGGCATATTTAATGGACCGTAATGTGACCCAAATACGTTTATGATCAACTCCGTCAATCACTTTAACTTTGAAATTGGTCAATTTATTTCCTGAAAACTTTGAATAGTGTTGAACAACTTTCTGCTGTTTTGAAAGGCCTTGGAAGCTGGCCCCGTCGGGGGCGACCTTTCTTAGCAGCATCATGCCGTAGTTAATGTCTTTGGTGGAACTTTAAAGTTCCAACCATGTAAAGTAATTAAATGGCAAATTGTTAAGATTAACAAATGGAACAGTTTACCAGGATATGTAATGTACAGTGTGACTCAGTAAACATGTGGAACAACTTACCAGAAGATATAATACAGTGTGATACAGTAAACAAATGGAACAACTTTCCAAAAGATATAATAGTGTCGTACAATGAACAAATGAAACAGCTTACCAAAAGTTATAATACAGTGTGGTACAGTAAAAATGGAACAACTTACCGGAAGATATAATAGTGTGAAGTAAATTATGGAACAGCTTACCAGGAGATTGAGTCTTCTGAATTGATTTCCCGCTCAATTTTCGTATCGTCTATAAATTTGCAAATATTGGTTTTCATTCCTGAGTGTAAATCTTTTACATTTGGTAAACAATAGAGCTCCCACAAGAGAGCCTTGAAGCACTCCACTTACACCGATTTCCGATTCTTAACTTGACTACATTTATACTCTATTTCATTGGGTAAAACCATGCCCTTATGCAACTTAATAATGTAGCATAATAATATTGGTTCAGTACCGTGATCCTTGTATCTTTCTAATCAGTTTTGCGTGTGTCGCCGTATTAAAAGTTTGACTAAAATCACAATGTCACAAACCTTTTCAGGTGTGACCGCCAGCCTAACCGGTGAGACCTCAAAGAATTATAGTGCAATTCATTTTGTCGGGGACAGGTAGCCTGTGTATATATAATTATAATTATAATAAATAGTATACTAAAGAGCGTATGTATAATATATATGTTAGGCTCCTATCGAGGTCCCCCCCAAGGTCGAACTACTGACTCCCTCAGGATGTATTTCCATAACAATTGACTAACTCACGGGCAGCATGGTGATTCACTCTCCTATGATAGCATGGAGGAACGATGCTCGTCCGAGCGAGTTTCTTTCCCCAAGGAGGAGTTGACCAAATATTTTAATTCAAACAATTCAGACACAAACATGACAGGCCAAGCTTGTAATTATCGCGTATAATTACCGTCAGATAATCCTACTTAATCCTCCATCTGGACCAGGTCAGTGCTCATCGACAACTGACCTGCGATGGTTAAATAGATTACCCGAACCTCATTTAGTTCAAGATATTTTAGTCCCAAAGTTAAATCTAAATAAATAAATGTTTATTTAGGTAAGGTACATACATACAAGAGATTTTACAAAGTTTGTTGGATTAATAGATAGAGCTAGTACATACAATGCCTAAAGCCACTATTACGCAAAGCGTTTCGGGCAGATCTCTTATAATTTTAATGAGCTAAGTTAGACCTCATTTGGATTATTTAGTACGGGTTATCGGATTATCAGTACCATGCAATTTTGGTAAACTTTTAACAATACACGGAGAAGAACTAAGTTAATCCCGGCTATTTAGAACCTTCCTTAGTAAATACCGACTAAGAAAACCATTATTTCCAGTCTCTATAAAGACAGAGTAAGGGGAGACTTAACTATAGTGTGCAAATCAAATATAGTAACTCGTCCTCCCATTAGCACGTTACATTTTGACCTATACTCTACCAAAGGACAAAAACTCTCGTACTAGAAAATGGTGGCGGCTCGCGAAATTGACATAATGTCCCGTTTTCTGTTCGTGCGTCCTCTGGTAGGTTAGGATAGGGCACTTTATTACAACAGCTTATTGACGTTGGGACCGCTGGCGAGAATGGGTTGAATATAGACCAAAAATATCGATCCCAGGATGAAGTATAAAGAAATACTCAATATTAATGCGTTTCAATGTAACAAATTAACATGTAAGCTTTGGTTCATAGTAAAGTGTGTAGATGTGTGGAACAAATTACTACACGGTAATTTGTTATCACGACAACAAACAGACATCATAGTAAACTCGCTGGGAAATTTCCAGCAATGGTTTGGTGTAAATATTACCAGACTCGCAGGAGTTAAATGGCCTTCCGTATTGTTTATATTCTAAAGTTTATTTATTTTTTTTAACACTGCAAATTCATCTTCTGACAGATGAAGTGGCTGACGGCATTAGTGTTGGTGGCTGTTTTGGCTTCAGTGTCAGCAGTGTCTTTCTTCTCTGTTGTCTTGGAGGAATGGGACGCTTTCAAGGTAAGAAAACTGGTTCACTTTCTTGTTTTTAAGGTCGATTATCATCGACCTGTGAAGGTTGTATATTTTGTTTAGAAACAATTTACAAGAAATTCTCCTTCGAGAGTACAAGCAAATGCCTATATCTGTGGCACAAAGTATCTCACAGTTACTTTTGGGACGTTTTAAAACAAGAACAAACAAGCAGTTTGACGATATGCAAAATAAAATGATCTTGAAATAACACAAAAATACAATTTATAGACTTAATGATATTGTAATTTGTTATTGTAATAGTCAACAAGCATACATAATATATAATAATATTATATAATAACTTTAACATTTAAACTGTTTTTAGATTTATATGTTTGATATATATATTTAGCATAATCATATATATATATATATATATATATATATATATATATATATATATATATATATATATATATATATATATATATATATATATATATATATATATACACACACCCACATCTGGGTGTATATACATTGAGTTACGCTTTAGTCCTGGACTATGTTAAGGACCTTAACAAGCACAAATGTATCTTGTATTTATACTTGACTTTTACTATACAAACTTGTACTTCATAGCTTGAACATGGTAAGAAATACAAGAGTGCGGTTGAGGAATCATTCCGACTGAAGATCTTCACGGAGAACAAACACCATATTGCTGCCCACAACAAGCTGTTTGCTCAAGGACTAAAGTCATACTCGCTCAAGATGAACCGGTTCGGTGACATGGTAAGTACCACCAACATGACAATGATTTTATATTTAAAGTTTTATGACCTTAATCCCCACATATATTTTAACTGCTCGATTTTAATTCGAGTACATTTAATTCCAATGTTTACTATTATTGGTTGTCAGAATTGGGTAAAACTCTGACAACCAATAATAGTACTTTTGTTGTTGTACTTCCTTAAATACAGTAAGACAAAAATGTTTGTTATAATTAAGAGCATTTCAATAACATAGGAATTATGGAACATAAGGTGTCCTGTCCCTCTTACTTGAAAGTCCCACTTAATTCCCCAATCCCACCCATACACCTATATTTAATCTATTCCTGAAGACTATCAAGTCGTTTGTCTCAACAATGCTGGCTGCCAGCAAATTCCAACCATCCAGTTTCTAAGTCAGTATTTCTCGATATTCCTCCTAAAACACTATTTCTCCAGCTAGTACCAGTTGTTGTAGATTCTGCCCTATTCCGATTGTTTCAGAACCTGTTTATATTCCCCATATTAGACAAATTTATTAGAAATTAAATATAAAACTTAAATATTAGGCTAGATATTACCAAATACTGTATACAACATGCACGTACTGAATATAAAAACATTTTAAATCTATAGAAAGTGGAATAACAATTTTTATACTTGTTACCAATTGACGATTGATTGGCTTTGGAAACAATTTGCAAGCAAAATAATAATTGATATGAAATAGGGTAAATAATAACAAAATGGGGTATTTACAAAAGTAATACTGAAAACAGAAGATTTATGGTGATCTGTAATTGTCACTAGGTTAATTGTTCTTTATTCTTGTTTACTCTAGTTCTCTTTTGTCCCCTTGATCACCTCTCAATGTTTAATCGTCAATATTGTCCTGCTGAATCATTGATTCAGCAGGATTCCTCATTCAGCTGAATCACTTACTTATTTTTATATCCTGTTGAATATATATATATATTCATGTTATGTTAATTAGATATAATCTAATTTTGTTCAACTTTTATTGCAGCTTAATAGTGAATTTATTTCAACGATGAATGGGTTTGAAATGAGCGGTTTAGTGTTTGGTCAGCGGTACAATGGTTCCTTCTACATTGAGGCAGACAACATTGCAATGCCAGAGACTGTTGACTGGAGGGAGAAGGGAGCAGTTACGGAAGTGAAGAACCAGGAAGAGTGCGGGTCATGCTGGGCTTTCTCAGCTGTGAGTACTTTATTGAACAAATATGTTGTACTTGTCACTGGAAGATTTACAGAATATTCCAGAGATGTTAAAAAAAAAGACTTTCCATTATTGACCATTTAAAAAGTGGTGCGAGCAATGTATTACTGTTCAAAAAATAAAATTTTCAGCAATATAACTGTTACTGATTATAAAATAATATATTCTCAAATGCAATTAAACTGAAAGGTAATTCTATTTGTCCTTCTGCATATGATCTGTTCTCTGCAAGTACAGTATAAAAAATTCTTAATCATTAGTTTAAATTATTGATCAGTATTATGACATGCACAAATGTTGGCAGACCGGGTCACTGGAGGGTCAACACTTCCGCAAGACTGGCAAGCTGGTAAGCCTCTCTGAGCAGAACTTGATTGACTGCTCCGCCAGGTATGGCAATAATGGCTGCGATGGAGGGTTGATGGACTTTGCCTTCCAATACATCGAAGAAAACGGTGGAATTGACACAGAAGAATCTTATCCGTATGAACAAAGGGTAAGATAACCAATTTGTCCATATTATTTATAATCAATACCAGATCACGCTAACATAATGAGAGATATTTAAACTGGATAACTTTTAATTCAGAAAAAAACTATGGGATGAAAACAGAGTCAGCAACTTGTGTCCATTATGTTATCCAGTAACAAATTACTGGATAACATAATGGACATAAGTTGCTGGCTTGTTTCAATCCTAATTTAGACTGCTCGTAAGGCCCAATTGGTCCTCTGTAGTAATTTTATTTTGATATACTTTATGCATGTGATGTATAGTAACAAATATCAGTGGGAAGAAAACTTTTTACCCAGTAAAAAGAGTTTGTTTCTTAAATGCGTAGTGAAAGTTGTTAAAGCAATAAATACGTGTATTAACAACACTACTGTTTCACCAGAATAACACGTGCCGCTACAACCCCCGTAAATCTGGTGCTACAGTGACTGGCTATGTTGATCTTCCTCAGCGAGATGAAGAGGCATTAAAGAAAGCTGTTGCCACTGTTGGACCCATTTCTGTGGGCATTGATGCTGCCAGTCACTCATTCCAATTTTACCATACGGGTAAGTCAGTTTATATGAAAAGTAGGCATATATATATAATTTAGGAAAATATATATATATATACTATATATATATATATATATATATATATATATATATATATATATATATATATATATATATATATATATATATAATATATAATATATATAGTCAGACCACGAAGGAAGAATTGAAACAGGAATTTCCTTAAATACTTTCGTATTTTAATAATACACTTTCAGACGGAATTCTGAAGATGTATTATTAAAATACTGTACGAAAGTACTTAAGGAAATTCCTGTGTCAAAATCTGTTTCAATATTTCAATATATAACCTCATCTGTTTATTATAAATCTAATTGGTTTTCTATATTTCTCAGGTGTTTATTACGAACCCACATGCAGCTCTGACAGACTGAACCACGGTGTTCTGGCTGTGGGTTATGGCACTGAGAATGGGACAGACTACTGGCTGGTGAAAAACTCGTGGGGTCTACCATGGGGAGATAAAGGCTACATCAAGATGCTGCGTAACTATCACAACCATTGTGGCATTGCTACGATTGCCTCCTATCCTCTTGTATAGACACAGATTACAAAAACCTAATATCTCACTCTATATATATTTGAAAAAAAATAATGTTTATGTAATTCGTAAGTTATGTTTGATATGAGTTAATTTAAACTTTCTTTCATGTGTATGTATACTGTAATGTATTGCTTTGATTATACTTTGTCTACAGTAACATATAGTGCCTCCCAGATGTCCTGGTATATTTCTCTTAAGTGTATTGGTTGGTAATATTACACATGTCAACAAACAAAATAACATTTGCCTCTTGAGTTAAATGAGATAATACATATAAAATGGGCAAATTTAATTCATCTTTAACAAGAGAAATTATTAATTTCGCATAATTGGGTATGCAAGTTAATTTACTTTTGAAAAGATGTGCAGAATATTTGGTTGGTTATATTTTAATGTTGCTTCCATCATGAACACAATGTAGATTTATTTAAGGTAGTTTATGAGTGACAGACTAACATGGGCCACAAGTTTCTGACACTTATGTCTGTAAGCTTGTCTTGGGAAGCTCAAGATAATTGAGCTTCCTTATTTAAATACAAACTTTCAAAATACAGTGTGTTTATGTACCTTTTCCAGTAAAGACAAAAACTAAGTTATTTTTTATGTAAACATATACTTTTTTATGACAATTACAAAAGGTGTATTTATGAAACAAAATTTGTTTTGCTATGTGGATGGATTAATTATCTGCAGAATAACTTGAAGACTATATTTGACAAATTTGCACATCTAATGTAATAAACAGTAAAAAGCACATGGTATAGATGATCGCTCATTACACTGGCTGGAAAATTGGTTATCTCTAAACGTGATGTCATAAATTATAATGCATCCAGTTAGACAGACCTAAGGGAGTTCTTATGGCCAGGTCTGGGCACTACAAGCTCATCCAACATCCCCACCTCACAGGACGGCCAGTCATACATGGAATCAGGAGAGAGCATGAAATATAAGGCTGATCTATTAGCCTCCCCCAACAAAATCAGGGTACAGCACAATAATATCTTCCAATATTCCTGAGTGTATGAAGTAATTACAGAGCTCAAAGTACCTCATACCATTTGGTCTGAAATCATTGATAACAGGGCAATCACAGATATAGTGTTGGAACGTATGCTTGTTAGCTTGTTAGTGCACATAGTTTACAGATGGAATGTTCACCTTTGGGAGATTCATTACCTGCAACCACCTGCTATATATATCGATATCCCAGCCTAATTCTGGCAATTACAATGTTTTTTTTTGTATCTAAACTGTGTAATCTTTCATACAGAATAGGGCAACTGCACATTTGCTGTGTATTCCTAGCAAAATTTGTTTACAAAAAAAATATTGAGAAGAATCTTATTGAAACTGGTAAAAAATGTTAACATAACAAAATTTAAAAAATATTTTTAATATGTTAAAAAATATATTATTTCCATGATTCAGTGCTTAGCTCAAATTTAATTTATTTTTTGTACTGAGGCGGGTACAGTATTCTCTCTTCTGATTCCATGTATGACTAACCATCCTGTAAGATGGAAGTATTAGATGAACTTATAACTAGTTTTTTTATCTACACTGTGTAATCTTTCATATAGAATAGGGTAGCAGTACATTGTTGTGCATACCTAAGCTTGTTAATAAAAAATAAAAAATAAAAATCCTGGGAACAGTTTACCAATTTCTAAAAGTAATTTTGACCTTCACTCATGCAGAGTTGTCTTAATTTGTCCTCCTTTTCTCAGAAATTATCCAGCCGAGGATTGACAATTTCTATTTTTTTTTTTGCATGGATATGATGCTGGTAATGCATGAACCTTGAGGTTATCTTGAGATGATTTCGGGGATTAGCGTCCCCGCGGCCCGGCCTGGTCCCCCGGAGGACCAGGCCTCCTTTTTGTAACACACCCCCAGGAAACAGCCAGAAGCAGCTGTCTAACTCCCAGGTACCTATTTACTGCTAGGTAACGGGAACATCAGGGTGAAAGAAACATTTTGCCCATTTATCTCTGCCTCCACAGGGGAGGGCAAAATGTTTCTTTCACCCTGATGCCCCTGTTAGCTTTTTTATTTAAAATGTTAATTTTTGGAAGGATGTAATGGGACGCCTACAAAACATGTTAGGATATATGGTATGAAAATACGATAAACTGGTGCACAGTTTAGTGTTAGGCTTGAAGCCCTACTAACCACTGGTTGTCATTAAGGCTTCACAAGTACCTATTGACCAACCATTTTACCATAATGGTAAAACTGAGGCATTAATGGGAAGAGAGACGTCCAACTGCAGCAACAGAAACAGTTGGAGCAGTTTCTCACCTAACCCATGTTGTGCAACCCTTATAGGGAGTTCCACTGTATCTCTTCAGAGCAAGATTTACTTTGATTGAAAACGATTGTTTACTCATTAAGATTGGGAAATAGTGACACCTTTTAACAGTCCACATTTTTAGAAAGGTGGAAGTGAAGTAAATAAATTTCACATTTCCTAGTGTTTACGTTTGCTGAATAATAGCAGATGATTTTTATTGGCCTATTATTTTTCCAGCCCTTGACGCTTTGGTGTGTAACCTTGTACACTCACAAGCCAAACCGTGCATTCGAACTAGGAAATATCAGGGCCGAATTGGAAGTGTCAAACATGACAACGGGCCAGGCCGGTGAAATACTGATACTGCTACAAGCATGCATTATGTCGTGGGGAATAATTGGCAGAGCTGATGACTCCTGGAAACCGCTGGAGTTTTCTCCAGACAGAGCGATCCCAACACTGGAGATATGTGACAAGTGGGATACCACAAGGGTCCATTTTGGAGCCAACCCTTTTTGTCATATACATTAATGACAAATGAGAATATTACAGACATCAAATTTGCAGATGACACCAAGATTTATGGTAAAGTGGAAGTGAAAAATTAATTTGAGGCCCTACAAATAGTTAAAATATACGAGCTAGATAAATAAGTTGACATTGACATAGGTTGACTAATTTGAGGCCCTACAAATAGTTAAAAAGATACAAGCTAGATGGTGTTGAGATTGCGAAAGGGATCCGAGAGTTATGATTAGTAAGAATTTAAAACCAAAGGATCAATGCATGAATGTTCGCAATAAGGCAAATAGGACACTGGGATTTATTAATCGAAGCGTTAGTAACAAGACACCTGGTGTTGTTCTTCAGCTATATCTTGCTCTGGTTAGGCCCCCATTTAGATTATGAAGTTCAGTTTTGGTCGCCGTACTATAGAATGGATATAAATTTACTTAAATGTGTCCAGCGTAGGATGACGATTAATCCCCCAAATTAAAAATCTTTCATATGAAGAAAGATTAACAAAAGCTTAAATTGCATTCACTGGAAAGGCAAAGAGAGTTAGGGAGCCGGTCGGCCGAGCGGACAGCACGCTGGACTTGTGGTCCTGGGTTCGATCCCAGGTGCCGGCGAGAAACAATGGGCAGAGTTTCTTTCACCCTATGCCCCTGTTACCTAGCAGTAAAATAGGTACCTGGGTGTTAGTCAGCTGTCACGGGCTGCTTCCTGGGGGTGGAGGCCTGGTCGAGGACCGGGCCGCGGGGACACTAAAAAGCCCCGAAATCATCTCAAGAAGATAGGGGTGACATGATAGAGGTTTACAAATGGATGAATGGACATAAAGGGGGATATTAATAGGGTATTAAAAGTATCAACACAAGACAGAACATGAAACAATGGGGTATAAATTGTACAAGTTTAGATTTAAGAAAGACTTGGGTAAATACTGGTTCGGTATCAAGGTTGTTGATTTATGGAACCAATTACCGAGTAACGTGGTGGAGGTGGGGTCCCTCGATTGTTTGAAACGTGGGTTGGACGTGTATATGAGTAGGAGTGCGTGGTTATAAATAGGAGCTGCATCGTATGGACCAATAGGCCTTCTGCAGTTACCTTTGTTCTTATGTTCTTAAAACATGAAGAGACCAACACCAGGCAACAAAAATCATTCCATTACTAAGTTGACTTTCATACCAGGAATGGTCAAGGACCTCAGGGCTAACCAGCCATGACAGTGCTGATCTCGTAGGCCTTTAAAATACAGTACTGAACAATTTGGCGGATATTGCTCCAGACTACTACGGTACTATAAAAGGCAGAATTTAGCATATATATATATACAATAAGAGTTTAAAGCTCAAAAAGACACAATGTAGGACAGATTTACCCCACAGGGTTATAAACCCATGGAACTGCTTACCCTTCAAAGCTGTAAAGGCTAAATCCAGCTGGATAAACTCATCCAAGGTCCCCATATTTGCAAAGCTGCCAGCTTCCTGTCACCATTGAAGCCATTAGAGGGATAGTAGCCCTCTGGTGAATATTATATAATTTTAATAATAAAAGAAGGTAAAGAATCATAAGTAAAATATTTTAAGTTTATTGATAAAGATAATATAAAAAGATAACTTTCATACACAGCTTCAGAATATTCTGAACCATACAAACCTGTCATTCAAACCTCTTATGTACCTTGGATGAACATAATTTTGACAAGTTCACTAAAAACAAACAAAAATGTTGTTACAATGCAATCATGTAAATGATATCTTAATTATTAAGAAAGTTCCCAAGTTCAAATGCATTACCACATTCAGTTCACTAGTAAACCCTAAAAAGTTATTTTCAATTATGGGCATTTGTGTGAAGTATGGTCACTCGGTACAGTATATGACATACGGTAAACAATGTAAACACTGAGCATGTATTTAAAATATAAGTATAAAATGATTATGCCCTTCATATCAATCCAATATATAAATTATATACTTAAAAAGCTAATCACAATATCTTTGGATGAGATTTAGGGCATTAATATCTCCCATGTCTTAAACAAGAGGGAAGGAGGCAGCACTAGCAATGCCACACTGGTTATGATGATTACGAATCATCTTAATGTAACCTTCATCACCCCAAGATGTTCCCCAGGAGTTCTTCACCAGCCAGTAGTCTGTACCATCCTCTGCTGTGCCATAACCCACAGCCAGAACACCATGGTCCAGCTGCTCAGAACTGCATTCTGGTTCGTTATAAACACCTGTAAAATTACAAAAATTGACAATATGAATAAATGTAGTGTAGTGAATAAATGTAGTACTCTGGCCTGAACAATTATATTTTTAACTGGTTGGAGAAGTGGGTGACACCCTGTCGGGGCAACAAGCAATGTTGGCAAGTTACTGTTCTGGACCCTAAATGTGATCAGTGTTCTGAAAACTATCTTGTTTAGTTAACCATTATTTTTTAATGGGTAATAGATATTAAATATAGTGTATTTACAAGGTTGTGTTCATGAGTGAAACCAGTGGAGGTAGTGTGCTCAGAAATATGGCAGCAGCACAAGAGGATATCTCAGTCTAGATCCACCTATATATTTGTACTAATGTACATATAGGGCAACTTTGGGGCATACTAATCTTATGGTTAATTCTAGTGCCTTGCTAAAATGTTTTAACATATATAATGACAGGGAGGTCATTATTAATACTAGTAATATTAATAATCTAGAAGTTACCTGGTCAAGGAATTCCAGCCATGTTTGAATCAGTTGGAATTGTGAAAGGAAGCTGGATGGACATAGTTTTGGACACTGCTACAATTTTAATTTAGTACCTCTTATTTATATTTCTCTTGCCTACATACTCCACCAGGTTATTTGTGTTAAGTTAGAAGAAAGTTATCCAAGTAGGACTGACTTCTAGCAAGTTTAGGTTTTACCTGTAGCCACATTTTAACTGTTCAGCCCATCCTCTCGAGCACTCAATGTCACCAAGCAGATGCACTAAATTGCCGAACCTAACAGAAGACCCATGAATACAACAAGCTACCACATTAATTTTGAGAGCTGCTATTAGTTTTTGGCCTTACAGGATTTATGTCAAAAATACAATGTACTATTCAAGAGGATGGGGGGGGGGGGGAATAGTAGGGTAGCTATGAATATATTAGTGTGTGAAAATGAAATAACTGCAGATACTGAATGTTGTATTGGGGCAAGATGACTGACAGTGTGTGCATGTAAATAGTGTAACCCATCCTCAAAACATGATAATGCCTAAAATTATGGATGGACCGATTCAAAATATAGATTCCTGCATCCAACAAAAACAAACAGCCTAGTCCCCCATCCAATGGGCATCTCGGCCTAGTTCTCCATCCACACAAGTTAAGTGAGAAGGTTGTGGAGGCCAAAACCGTCAGTAATTTCAAAGCATTATATGACAAAGAGTGCTGGGGAGACGGGACACCACGAGCGTAGCTCTCATCCTGTAACTACACTTAGGTAATTACTTAGGTAATTACACCAGTCATCCAGTAATGTAATACAGTAATGTAATGTAACCAGTTGATGTAATACAATTACATCAACTCAAGAAGATCCCTAGCCTCATGCCCGCTGGTCATCCTAGCCTAATGCCCTGTTCACTGGGCATCTCAGCCTAGTTCTATGTATTTAGGGGTATCTAAGAGAAAGTGCTCCACTCACTCAAAAGAATGTCATTCATCTGACTTGCACAATTTACACCTACCTTCAACATGCATATTTTCAAACAATGGGGAACTTAAAAACTCACCATCATGGTAAAACTGGAATGAATCATGTGCAGCATCAATGGCAACTGAAACTGGTCCTACAGTGGCAATAGCTTTCTTCAAGGCCATTTCACTTCCCTCTCGAACATCAACAAAACCAGTATCTTCAGCGCCAGATTCACGTGGATTATAACGGCAATTTTCATCCTATTAAAGTATGTAGTAAAGTATGTTTTTATGAAGTAGATCAGATTATTTTTACGTCAGAATCAATATTCAATTATGGATGAGTAGAAGAGTATCTATGCAGGTTTATTAATGCACAACAGACAAGATCTCATCATAACATGATCTTTCATTAACTTGCAGTTTTATTACAAAGCACATAACTGTATTGGTTCCATACCTCGGCATCATATGGATACGACTTCTCTGTATCAATTCCACCATTATCTTTAATGTACTGGAAGGCATAGTCCATCAGTCCACCATTACAACCATTATTGCCATACTTGGTGGAGCAGTCAATCAAATTCTGCTCAGAGAGACTCACTAGCTTACCAGTCTGGCGGAAGTGTTGACCCTCCAGTGATCCGGTCTGTGGATCATACCACACATTACAGTATTGTAATACAATTACATTCACTTTGGAAAATATTTAGGAATAAAATTTCGAAAAGGTAATGGAAATTAATTCCAAAATCAAAAATTAGGAATACAATAAAAATATTTTGCTTAATGATCAATAGTTATTTAACTTTTACTACAAATTGTAAATGAATGACAGTAAATTTTTTAAATAAAATGAAGTACTCACAGCTGAAAATGACCAGCATGATCCACACTGCCCCTGATCCTTCACTGGGGTAACTGCTCCCTTCTCCCTCCAGTCAACACTCTTTGGCAATACAACGTCGTCGTCTGGTTCAATAAAGTTGGCACCGGTGTACAGACGGTTAGATCTGTAGCTTCCTGTATGGTTCCAATGGAAACCATTCATTGTTGACACAAATTCACTATGAAGCTGAAAGAAAAAAATTAAGCATTTATTATTATACACAAAAAAAATATGGTTCTGTGTTGTATATTTGGAGTCCATTAGTTATTTACTAGTACTGTATACTTGAGAAATCTTCATAGTCTGGAAACCTTGAGTGTGTAAAAGGACTGCCACCAAAAACTTAATAGTGTATGAATTAGGGGGGGGGGGTTATATTATAAAGGCAACATAAATAAGCTCGACTGAATTTCTAAATCTATTTTTTCTGGAAATTAAGGCAAAGAATTGGTTTGAGTCAAAACTATATGGATAGAGCCTTTCTGAGCAGACTTGCTTGGTTATCCACAAGGTAAGATTTCACTATTACATAAGGGTGCAAATCAAATAGATAGGCAGGACAATATCTAGGTAGTGCCAGCACCCCAGAATCTTTCAAATGTCCTTTCAGGGGTCATTTGAAAGGGAAAGAAACCCGTCCTCAAACCAAGTCCATTCCATCCAACGGTCGACCCCAAAGACACTTTAATCAATTTTAACATGTTCATTCAAAACAGATATTTTCTCAAATATAAATTAATATTTTATATTACAGCTCTATATTGTACATATCTAGGCACTGGTAAAAAAAAAAGGGTGGGGGGCTTAGGTTTTGTTGGTGCTTATTTGTATTTGTAGTACGTGGGTGAAGCATTTACAGCATTGTGATTTGAACAAAATTCGTCAGTGAAATGAAAGCACTTGTTCCGGAAATGTTCGAACGTCATCAGTCACGAGTCTTATGGAAATTGTTTTTCATTCATAAACAGGGGGTTTGGTAGGCGCATGGAATGGACATTGGGTCTTTGTTTGGAGGACAGGCTACTTCAGGTCATGTGCACACAAACATGGCATTGACTCATTTACTATAGGATGGGAGATTAGGGCCTTTGAACAAAGCACCGTAGTCTTGTGGTTGACGATGAGGTTGGCAGGCACAAAATAGCAGTGCAGGGCAGTAACAGAACAGTGTGATGCACCCTTGGATGCACTGACCACAACTGAACAATGCCAGTTGCCTACATAATGTGCAGGTTTCATCCTTGACTAAGAATGAAGGAAATGGATGGAAACATAAAAAGATATCACCCTGACCAAAGGATATGAAACCCCAAAGGTATAACTTAAGAGTGCAACTAGTTGCTAGAGTCAATAACACTAAAATTTAACCTCAAAGTGCAGGAGTAGGGGGAACTTTCTTGGGTACTAACCAAAATCTGTTGAAATTATATTATTCCCCAGGTTGAATGGGTTTTACCCCAAATCTTTATTAAAATGATATTCCTCCCAGGGTCAACAGTTTTGAATAGAAAAAATATATTAGTTGTTTAAAATTCTCAACTCGCTTTATATAAAATACCAGCAAAATAACAAATCTTAAATACCTGTACTTGTACTTCTATTTGTATTATTTGAGCCTTTATTACTCCCAAAATTTAAATTTTTACCATATTTGGGGTAATTTACCCGCTCTCCAACCCCTGGTTTAGTGCAATGCGAGGCCACTGTCAAATGACGAATGACATCTTCATCAGTGTTTGAATACATAGTTGTTTATTTAATTCCTATAGCTGAATGTGTTCCATTTCCAATTTAAAAATATTGATTGTAGCAAAGAAATTGCAAATAGATAGCTTTTATTATGTATTAACAAATATTTGATCTTAAGTTATGTCCATAAATCTTACTTACCATGTCACCATACTTGTTCATTCTGAGCTTGTATGACTTTTGTCCTGTTGAATACAGCTTATTGTGAGCAGCAATCTTGTGTTTGTTCTCCATAAATATTTTCAAGCGGAATGAGTCTTCAACATCAGTTTCATATTTCTTGCTATGTTCAAGCTAAAAAAATACCAACATTATGAATGAAGGGAATATGCAAATGCATAAACAATTTCAGTAATTATAACTACATTAATGAGGAAAGATATGCACACAATATAAAATATAGTAATACAGAATTGTGTAATAATAATTAACCAGAAGTTACAACCTCGTGGCCTATTAATAACGGTGTATCCTGGACCGAACCTAAATGGACGCGACTATAGTGTGTTAACCATGTTGTGTCTACGTGAGCATGTTCCAGCTCTAGGACCCTGCCTTCGCTATTGTACCTGGTGTGTTTACATCTACCAACCTTCCAGCACACCCAAACTTGCTCTTGAAGCTGTGTATAATCTGTCTATTGCTCACCACCTCTGGTACTAGCTCATTCACTTTTTCACGACTCGCTTTATTTCTTTAATTTCCAGACATTTTCTTTATTCAACTCCAAGTGTGACCTTTTAGTCTGTTGTCCTCCACCAGGAAAACATCTCTGTCCACTTGGCTATTTCCTTAGGTATCTTCTTGTCTCTAATGTCCTTAGATTTAATTCACTTGGATCGTCTTCTAATCTCATTTCTAACATTTCTAGCACAGTACTGTTTTGAGGCAAAACTTTGTACATCCAAAATTTTGATCTTGTGCATGTCTACCAGTTGTAGGTTCTATGCTAGAGTTACATATACCTGAAGAGGGATCTGGGAATTTGTTTACTCTCTGAGTCCGACCTACTCTAACAAAAACTACACAACATTCAGAAGGATTCCTTGGTCAGGATCAAGCCATCCTCATGTTTGCTGGGCTCACATATGCAGCAGTTTGCAGCTCACATATGCATATGCTTCCTCCCAGAGGAAGGTATTATGTTATTACATGCCTCCAGTCTGTAAGTGTTGAGGCATATTACATTCACTCCCAGGTCCTTAGCCCTTTATGACTCTTAACAACTGACGTCCGCCTTGTAAACTTTACTGTTCTTCTGGTCTCTTCCAAGCCTCATTACTTCAAATTTTGAGGGATTAATTTAAAATCCAGTTGACATTTGTTTACCTATTCCTGCAGCATTATTCAGTCATCTAACTTCTATCCTGACTTCCTTTCTCACTACAACCCTGTTTCCTATGTGTCAAGTTAAACACTGACCCAGTTCAGCACCAGTCCCAGCTACCATTGCCTGCATTTCCAGCTTATATATTTTATGAGGAATGTGTCAAAATGCTTTCTAGCAATCTAGGAAAATGCAATCCATCCACCCACCTTGTTGAACTTTACCAGGGTTGCAAGGCATGCCTTTCCTCATTTAAAAACAATGTTGTGTCTGATACAAAATTAGTCATCTTCAAATGTTCAACTAACTGTTTTCTTGGTACTGTATTTTACAAAGTATGCAAGTCAGTAGTACAGGACTATAATTTAAGAACTCTTCTCTCCTTTTTTTTAATATGGGAACACATTTAGAGTCATTCCAGTGTCTTTGAATGGCTGTAAATCCTTTGCTTACTGTACACAATACACCTTAGTCAAAGGATTACACAATTCCTCTGCCGTCACATTCAATATCCAAAGCATAATCGGGTGGTCATAATTCTTTTCATGCATCAAGTTCTTACAGGTTCTTCTGTACCTCCTTGGTTACTACCAGTATCTTCCACAATATTTTCCACTATTTTATTAAAAGAGATTGGCAATGGTGGCTGTGTTGTGTAGCAAGTGTTTTGTGTGGTTGTATTTTGATGATGGCTGAGGTGGTGTAATAATATTATACTAATGGAGGTGGTGTTTGTGGCTGTTAGCAATATATTGATAGCCTGTCCAATAATTAAGAAAACAATAGAAGACAATTAGCATCACAGGTAACAAATACTGTCCCAAAAAATTGGAAATGGCACAAATAATGTTCTAAGTATGGTACGAGCTCTTAAATTTCTTTGTATATAAATTTATATTTGTACAGTATATTTAAACTACAGTACCACAAATTTGACTAAGATGTAACAAATTGTTGCAGTGGCAGTTGGCAGAGCATATAAAGGCGTTAGAATTAACTTTTATGCTTGCATTAAAATTTGGTTCAATATAAATGTTAATTTGTGTTTAATGTAAAATACTGTTTTGTTACCGTAAACTGGAAATGGTGTTGTGCAAATGTACAGTGAATGCAAGTTTGATATAAGCCTAAAGTATACATATACATAGGATGCTTGACATGATTATTAATTATAATTATTAATTACTGTACTTCTGAAAATTCTCTTCCTTCAAATAAATAATGTTTGTTGCATAGCTAATTTACAAACATAAAAATTGTTTTACATGCATCGTCTTACCTTAAAAGCATCCCACTCTTCCAACGCAACGGAGAAGAAAGAAACTGCCGAAGCTGAAGCCAGAACGGCCACCAACACTGATGCTGCCAAGCACTTCATCTGTTGTATTTGATCTCGTTTAAAAAAGTGTACAGTATTGCACAATATACTATCAAACTTATATTTGATTATTTTTGCATAGGTACAGTATGATAATTTACAAGCATTTACCAATTATATTATAATAAAGATGAAACAAGGTTGCAGGCCCAAGTTAAAAGTGAATAAATATGACAACATTTATTTATTTATTCATATACAAGATAATGGGTAGTTAAAGTGCATATGTTGGTGGGCAAGTACAGTAATACATTCTTGCAAAGCCACTAGCATGTATAGTGTTTCAGGCCTACTATCCAGTGTTTTAAAACAAGATAATGCTCATTGAACAGTAATCAAAGTTGCTGCAGATATTTTAAGTGAGAACAAATGAATGATAAAGCACTGAATACAACACACATTTGCAAAGGTTTGCACAGTACAGTATTTAAGTCTTTGTGATACAATACTAAAATATTTCATAAAGCCATTTATATGAAGAAATCTTATTTGTTTACCTTCCTTATTTTTTTTTTTTTATTTATTTATTTTTTTTTTGAGATATATACAAGAGTTGTTACATTCTTGTACAGCCACTAGTACGCGTAGCGTTTCGGGCAAGTCCCTGGAATACGATCCCCTGCCGCGAAGAATCGTTTTTTCATCCAAGTACACATTTTACTGTTGCGTTAAACAGAGGCTATAGTTAAGGATTTGCACCCAGTAAATCCTCCCCGGCCAGGATACGAACCCATGACAAAGCGCTCGCGGAACGCCAGGCGAGTCTTACCACTACACCACGGAGACTCAATTATCTAGTCAATCTTAGGAATTGGTATTTACTGTATACAGTAGTTTATTGGCAGAAACCTTAAGGATACAGAAGAAATATGATGAGAACTTCTGCAGTTAAAAGAACCTCGTGGCTGCCAGACATATTGTGTGATGATCAACATTGTGAAATATGCAGAGCTTTGCAATTAGTCAACACACAACCATAATGAATGTACAACCAAGTTTAGAATGTTCTTCTATGACCTATAAACAGGTTAATCTAAATATTATGAATATTAGGTATAACAGATCTTTACCAAACAATACAAGGGGAAAACATTTATATCCTGTATCAATAATTTTTTATGTAGCCTAAAACCAAACTAGTTTTGGGCTAATGCTAATCTAAAAAAATGCAAAATTCAAGTAAAACCCAGACTGTTAGGGAAAGAACTGACAAGCAAGGTGGAAAGAGGGAAAAGAAGCTACATCTCAGAGGGAGTGCAATGGAGCCAGACATTTAGGGGGAGGGGGGAGCGACGACCAAGCCAGACTTTCCAGGGGAACCCAGGAGCCAGACCTCCCAGGGGGAAACCCAGGAGCCAGGCCTCCCAGGGGGAAACCCAGGAGCCAGACCTCCCAGGGGGAAACCCAGGAGCCAGACCTCCCAGGGGGAAACCCAGGAGCCAGGCCTCCCAGGGGGAAACCCAGGAGCCAGGCCTCCCAGGGGGAAACCCAGGAGCCAGACCTCCCAGGGGGAAACCCAGGAGCCAGACCTCCCAGGGGGAAACCCAGGAGCCAGACCTCCCAGGGGGAAACCCAGGAGCCAGACCTCCCAGGGGGAAACCCAGGGGGAAACCCAGGAGCCAGACCTCCCAGGGGGAAACCCAGGAGCCAGACCTCCCAGGGGGAAACCCAGGAGCCAGACCTCCCAGGGGGAAACCCAGGAGCCAGACCTCCCAGGGGGAAACCCAGGAGCCAGACCTCCCAGGGGGAAACCCAGGAGCCAGACCTCCCAGGGGGAACCCCAGGAGCCAGACCTCCCAGGGGGAACCCCAGGAGCCAGACCTCCCAGGGGGAACCCCAGGAGCCAGACCTCCCAGGGGAACCCCAGGAGCCAGACCTCCCAGGGGGAACCCAGGAGCCAGACCTCCCAGGGGGAACCCAGGAGCCAGACCTCCCAGGGGGAACCCAGGAGCCAGACCTCCCAGGGGGAACCCAGGAGCCAGACCTCCCAGGGGGAACCCAGGAGCCAGACCTCCCAGGGGGAACCCAGGAGCCAGACCTCCCAGGGGAACCCAGGAGCCAGACCTCCCAGGGGGAACCCAGGAGCCAGACCTCCCAGGGGGAACCAAGGAGCCAGACCTCCCAGGGGGAACCAAGGAGCCAGACCTCCCAGGGGGAACCAAGGAGCCAGACCTCCCAGGGGGAACCAAGGAGCCAGACCTCCCAGGGGGAACCAAGGAGCCAGACCTCCCAGGGGGAACCAAGGAGCCAGACCTCCCAGGGGGAACCAAGGAGCCAGACCTCCCAGGGGGAACCAAGGAGCCAGACCTCCCAGGGGGAACCAAGGAGCCAGACCTCCCAGGGGGAACCAAGGAGCCAGACCTCCCAGGGGGAACCAAGGAGCCAGACCTCCCAGGGGGAACCAAGGAGCCAGACCTCCCAGGGGGAACCAAGGAGCCAGACCTCCCAGGGGGAACCAAGGAGCCAGACCTCCCAGGGGGAACCAAGGAGCCAGACCTCCCAGGGGGAACCAAGGAGCCAGACCTCCCAGGGGGAACCAAGGAGCCAGACCTCCCAGGGGGAACCAAGGAGCCAGACCTCCCAGGGGGAACCAAGGAGCCAGACCTCCCAGGGGGAACCAAGGAGCCAGACCTCCCAAGGGGAACCAAGGAGCCAGACCTCCCAAGGGGAACCAAGGAGCCAGACCTCCCAAGGGGAACCAAGGAGCCAGACCTCCCAAGGGGAACCAAGGAGCCAGACCTCCCAAGGGGAACCAAGGAGCCAGACCTCCCAAGGGGAACCAAGGAGCCAGACCTCCCAAGGGGAACCAAGGAGCCAGACCTCCCAAGGGGAACCAAGGAGCCAGACCTCCCAAGGGGAACCAAGGAGCCAGACCTCCCAAGGGGAACCAAGGAGCCAGACCTCCCAGGGGAACCAAGGAGCCAGACCTCCCAAGGGGAACCAAGGAGCCAGACCTCCCAGAGGAACCATGGAGCCAGACCTTCCAGGGGGAACCCAGGAGCCAGACCTCCCAGGGGGAACCCAGGAGCCAGACCTCTCAGGGGGAAGCCAGGAGCCAGACCTCTCAGGGGGAAGCCAGGAGCCAGACCTCCCAGGGGAAGGAAGATCATGCTGGAATGCTTGGAGGCGCCGCTGGATGCACTTCCAAGGAACTTGGAAGTGTTGGGCCCCAAGTCAGTAATCGCCAAGGGACGGCAGGAGGCCGGGAAGGCCGGCCAAAACAAAGCCAAAAAATGACGCAATTCTGACCTTGCTCAAGTAGGTCTAGCTAGACGATTACAACTTTTTATATCTAACTATTCAATTACTTTACACAATAAAGCATCTAAAAATAAGCTTTAGTCGGAGGTGTTGTGGGAGTGAGGAATGTGACGCACTGACCCATATAATTCCCAGAATCCAGGTTCAGGTTTACAGCCATTTTCTCGTCTAACAATGACAAACTACACACATACTTTCTCCACAAAAACCGTCTTGGTAAAATTGTAATACTTCTTCGTTTCGCTGTACACACCACCAGTTACAACCGAACATATACGCACTTGTAATATATATACTCAGCATAAAGATGAGGAGACACCAAACAGTACTCACCTCGCCTCTTGCCGTCACAACACTGACAGGCTGCCGGGAGCACCCACTCTCTTAGCCCTTTAACCCATCTCCGCCAAACAACATGTTGTATAAAAAAAATAAAAATAAAAAAAATAAATTAAAATATTTACTATGGACCGAAACCGAGTCACCTTACCTGACTGTTGTTACCGCCACACCTCATATATAACATAATAATACTTTAAGACCTTGTATTCTGGGTGGACAAGGTATATGTGCTGGAGGCTGGTCGTGCGTCTGGCAGGGGGGCGCCCAGGAGTCATGTGACCGTCCATTCAAAAAAAAAAAAATCATGACTGGCCATGGGGGGGGGGGGGAGGTGTGTGTGTTGGGGGGGGGGAGGTGTGTGTGTTGGGGGGGGGGAGGTGTGTGTGTTGGGGGGGGGGAGGTGTGTGTGTTGGGGGGGGGGGGAGGTGTGTGTGTTGGGGGGGGGGACCAAGCTGTGTACAGTCCTCGTGCTCTTCCGCTCACAGCTATATTCCAGCTAAGCTGAGATTCTTTGTAATGTCTAAGACAATAACAGGATGTTAGAAAAGATAATTAAGTGCTTTGGTGGTGTATATTGAAGTCAGGTGCTATTTTTAATATGGCAAAAATATAGTACTGGTTTCAAACCGAATACAAATATATTATATTATATTATATATATAATATATATATTATACATATATATATAATATATATATTATATATATATATATTATATATATATATTTATATATATATATGTCGTACCTAGTAGCCAGAACGCACTTTTTGGCCTACTATGCAAGGCCCGATTTGCCTAATAAGCCAAGTTTTCCTGAATTAATATATTTTCTCTAATTTTTTTCTTATGAAATGATAAAGCTACCCATTTCATTATGTATGAGGTCAATTTTTTTTATTGGAGTTAAAATTAACGCAGATATAGGACCGAACCTAACCAACCCTACCTAACCTATCTTTATAGGTTAGGTAGGTTAGGTAGTCGAAAAACAATTAATTCATGAAAACTTGGCTTATTAGGCAAATCGAGCCTTGCATATTAGGCTGCATATTATATATATATATATATATATATATATATATATATATATATATATATATATATATATATATTTATGTCGTACCTAGTAGCCAGAACGTACTTCTCAGCCTACTATGCAAGGCCCGATTTGCCTAATAAGCCAAGTTTTCATGAATTAATTGTTTTTCGACTACCTAACCTACCTAACCAAACTTAACCTAACTTTTTCGGCTACCTAACCTAACCTAACTTATAAAGAAAGGTTAGGTTACGTTAGGTAGGGTTGGTTAGGTTCGGTCATATATCTATGTTAACTTTAACTCCAATAAAAATTTTTTTGCCTAATACATAATGAAATGGGTAACTTTATCATTTCATAAGAAAAAAATTAGAGAAAATATATTAATTCAGGAAAACTTGGCTTATTAGGCAAATTGGGCCTTGCATAGTAGGCTGAGAAGTGCGTTCTGGCTACTAGGTACGACATATATATATATATGTCGTACCTAATAGCCAGAACGCACTTCTCAGCCTACTATGCAAGGCCCGATTTGCCTAATAAACCAAGTTTTCCTGAATTAATATATTTTCTCTATTTTTTTCTTATGAAATGATAAAGCTACTCATTTTATTATGTATGAGGTCAATTTTTTTTATTGGAGTTAAAATTAACGTAGATATATAACCGAACCTAACCAACCCTACCTAACCTAACCTAACCTATCTTTATAGGTTAGGTTAGGTTAGGTAGCCGAAAAAGTTAGGATAGGTTAGGTTAGGTAGGTTAGGTTGTCGAAAAACAATTAATTCATTAAAACTTGGCTTATTAGGCAAATCGGGCCTTGCATAGTAGGCTGAGAAGTGCGTTCTGGCTACTAGGTACGACATATATATATATATATATATATATATATATATATATATATATATATATATATATATATATGTCGTACCTAGTAGCCAGAACGCACTTCTCGGCCTACTATGCAAGGCCCGATTTGCCTAATAAGCCAAGTTTTCATGAATTCATTATTTTTCGACAACCTAACCTACCTAACCTAACCTAACCTATAAAGATAGGTTAGGTTAGGTTAGGTAGGGTTGGTTAGGTTCGGTCATATATCTTCGTTAATTTTAACTCCAATAAAAAAAATTGACCTCATACGTAATGAAATGGGTGGCTTTATCATTTCATAAGAAAAAAATTAGAGAAAATATATTATTTCAGGAAAACTTGGCTTATTAGGCAAATCGGGTCTTGCATTGTTGGCCGAGAAGTGCGTTCTGGCTACTAGGTACGACATATATATATATATATATATATATATATATATATATATATATATATATATATATATATATATATATATATATATATATATATATGTAATGTACTGGTGGGGTCCAAGAGGTGACTGCCACCCTGGCCGTGGACAACAACAACAACAACAAGACACACTGGGCGACCATGGGTGCAGGACATCCTTGACTAGACCCATTAAGTTAGTCAAGAGCTCAACACACGTTCTGGACGCGTAATGTTATAGAGATCACTTGTTACTAGGGTATGTCTGACAGACCCTTTTGATACTGACACACGTCTAATTTGGACGCTTTGTGCTTAACCTACAATGACCTATCCACCCTTCGCCCCCCCAAAAAATTATGTAGATTTGCTACTGTAAAAAAATTCCAATCTCCAAATATACAAACCCAAGTAATCCATTTAACTTATCGAGTCCCATTCACAGAAAACGTAGACATTTGTGAGCCGTTACTTTTCTAAGTAGGTTGCATTTGTAACGTTTATTTATTTATTGATTTATTTATTTATGCATATACAAGAATGTACATAAGGAATGTGAGGATACAAATATGGTAATTACAGTCTTGTAAAGCCACTAGCACGCGCAGCGTTTCGGGTTTGTTAACATAACGTAACAAACGCGACCTTTTAGTGGAGTGGACGGGTTGTGAATACCTGGGTTGTTGGTCCCTGTAACCTGCTTAACTATATGAGTTTTGGGATTCAGTTCCTGAGCCCGTTATATGGCTGTATTCATGAAACCCATCGACACCACGAATGTACAACCTGTCCTCTTAAAAAGAACGTCGCTTTTGGCCGTATGGCCGAATATGGACGTAATTTGAAAATGAAAAAAAAAAATAATATAAATTTGGGATTTTTTTTTCAACAACAGTAAGTTAAGGGTCCTCTGATAGGTTAGGTGGGCAGGAAATTCTCATAAAGTTTCAAAACGGTATGAAAAACGTTAATGGAAAGAATTCTTTTCTAAGCTGGCTGAGTAAGCCGGACGACTCAAATAGAAAACGGAACAGTACGTCACTTTTGTGAGTCAATTTCATTTCAAATTACGTCCAAATTTGGCCATAGTGCGCATACGAGCCAAAAGTGACGTTATTTTTATGAGGACGGGTTGATCGATGAGGTTCATTATTAGATAAAACCATAGATGTGATCATTGTAATAGTGAACAATGATATTATATTTTTGTAATAATAAAGTTGTAATCTTTATTTGGATTAAAGATACTGTACTATCAAAGTTATTGTTCAATATTTCTGAATGCATATTTTGCATATGATAAGAAGGAGGGATATTCGTGGGAAGCAATATTACAGATTTTGTAAGTAGATATACGATATAAGATCTGAGGATTACAATATATTTTATCAGACGATGTTACACAATGTTCCCTAGAACATTATATTAACCAGAAATATTATGATGTTTACCTTGAAAACATAATGCATAAGACCCATAAATGAACATCGTTCAACAAAAATATAGAATAAGAAGCCGTATTGACTCGTTGTTGTTTGAGAACTGCTTCACACACTAAGAACTGCCATGATGCAGGATGCAGCTGGGCTTAATACGTTAGTGTTCCCATCCTCGGAGCAACTGGTGAGCCCCGCAGTGAAGGACAGGTCCTAAACCCGACATGAACCTGTAGCTACGATGGTCCGCCCTCGTGACGACCCCACTACCACGCCACCCGCTCAATCTTCCCTTCATTGGGCGGTATGAATTCAGTTTCTTTCTTTATTATGCACCCCATACCCATCCCGTGGGCGGTGGTGTAAAGGGTTACAGAGGCACATTATCGGTTCAGGAACTGAACCCCCAAGTTCGTTTGGCTAAGCAAATAACAATCTTTTGACGCTAGTTACACAATTATTAATGAATTAATATTATTATTATTATTAATATATATATTATATATATATATATATATATATATATATATATATATATATATATATATATATATATATATATATATATATATATATATATATATATCTATCTGTTGACCTACTAAGGCCATTGCGGATTGGAGTCATTATAAGCAAGAAATAATACTTGTGACTTATGATAACAGAGCGGATTTCTGTCTTGTATGTTGCACCTGATGACAGCCTCCCAGTGTTGGGTAGAACATTAAAGTTGCTAAAAATATGCCTTTTCAAGAGGTTAACTATAACCTTGCGTTGTCTATAAGTAACATGAAAACACTAATAAATAACTTCACTAAACTTTGTAGGTCTGAAACAAAGTAGCATCTACATACACTTTTTTACACCTGCCGATGTAGACTTCAAAATATTCACGCATCCTTCATCACCACACGATGGAATATGGTAACCAATTTAACATAATAAAAACGTTCAAGAAATGGCTAAATATTTAACTCAAATTCATATATTAGAAGTCTTCGTCAAGCATCCAAAGTTTGCTTTCTGTAGAGTGTGCGCGCAGGGAGGGACTTGCAACTGTCCCGCCCCCTGGAGGGCTGTGGGCTGCATGATTGCCGAATTAAAATTACATTCAACTAGTTCACCACCACTGAAAATGACTTAGCCTGATGACCACTGGCGTCCAGCTCCTGAACTCATTATGTAACACTGTAACCTTTCTGCCACTCGCCCACAGGAGGATCTGGGATGCATAATAAATTAATTGAACTAAAAACTAAGCGCTCAGGGGTTGAGCGCCGCTGCACCTTGC